GAATGCATACTATCTTCTCTTGCCCTACCTATTATAATCATTCCAAATATATGCTCATGAGTTTAGAGAAATAATTTTTTTTAATATATTTAAAGTATATTAGAGTAGCAAATGCAGGAGAATTATTTAAAAATATTATAAATCATTTATTGATCGATATGTTTGAATATAACTAAAAAAAATTATTAATACAAATTAAAATAACTTTCTTCTGTTCAATTAATCCCATAGATACAGTTACAAATTACTCAAAGAATTATTTACGAAGTTTGATAGTACTTTTCGTGATAAAGTGACTAATTTTTAAATTATCTCTATAAGGAAAACAGTTTCCTATATATATATATATATATATATATATATATATATACATAAATAAAATTTTAATTAAGATGTAATTGCTTGTAAATCAGTTGTATTATTAATTAATACAGTGTATAACTGTTAGTAGTTTAATTTAATTTCTAGGAGAAAATGCAGATAAAACAACCTGATTTATGGTGAGGCGATTTTCTGGATTTTTACACTAAGCCATCGAAAACACTAACCACGAAAGCTTTCTTATTAAAAAGTTCTTAGTGCAACACGATACCTTCTCAAGTCTACTCTAAGCATATTCCTTTAATATATTATTCCTCTCTCTCTCTCTCTCTCTCTCTCTCTCTCTCTCTCTCTCTCTCTCTTTAATTCAAAATACATAAAAGGATAATAATAATAATAATAAACGTTCAAATGATCCACAAAGCAATAGTAAAATCTGAGACCGAACTCAAAAGGATAAGAATACTATCCAATAGCGCTTTGCAAACTCAAAACTACTTTGGCTTAAATATTTGAACATAATCTTATTAGAAAAGTGTTTTGAAAAAACTAATGTGTACGCTAAAAACGCTAAATGCTTTCAGAGTAATAATTTTTCACTAGTCAATGCGTAGTTGCGTAAATATAAACGAGTTTCTTTTTGTCGAGAAAACGATATAGACAGAAAGAAAAAATACATTTAAAAAGTTGTTAAAAAGAAATGCAGAGCCTAAAATGCTTAGTCCAATGAATGGATTGCGTGGTCTACACTTTTTTATCACAAATGTTTATTTACTCCTAACTTCCTTTTCAATTTTAAGACATTGCATTCAATTTTATATAGAACACTTAGAATTAAATATTATTTTATTTAATGAAATTAGTGTTATAAAATTATTCGTATTATGTTTTTGAGATAATAAAATGCGCTAAACGAAAATTACTTTTTAAAGGTGAGAAAACTAACAAATAGTAATAATAAGTATTGTTATTATATGTATTATATGTAGTAATAAATTTTTAATTATTCAAAATTATAAAATTATATTTCATCGTTAAATGAAATATTTGTGGAAATTACCGCGTATGATTAAGCGAACATTCGTTTCAATAAGGCATTATATGCTAGTTTATGCAATTCCTACTAGATTAGAAAGTACAGCTTTAAAAAAAAGTTTATAATCTATTGAGATAGGCGAAAAGCCATTTGAATTGAAGGTATTATTATTAATAGTATTCAAGTATAATTAGTATATTATTAGTAGTATATTATTAGTAGTATATTAATTAAATTAAAATTAATTAATTAAAATATATTAATAGTATAAACAATTTATATTAAAATCAAAGAATTTAATGAAAAATATATGGATAAATAGTTGTTTATAAGCTTAAAGTGGGGTTGCTTGGTTGGATATTGTTAGTTTCTCGGCAGTCATACTTAAATTTCTTAAGCACATCGTCTTCATCCTTTCTCCCCCTCTCACGTAATCATGAATGAAATTAGTTGACAGGATAAATAGAATATATAAATAGGTAGGTCGAGTGAGAAAGTTCGAAAAGTCGGAAAGATGAAGAGAGAGAGAGAGAGAGAGAGAGAGAGAGAGAGAAAGAGAGAGAGAGAGAGAGAGAGAATGAGAAACCACTTTACTCAGCGAGGGAGATGGAAGGGCGGATAAGGGTGGAAGAGGACGTACAAAGACAAAGTACGTCCAACTTAAGAATGAATTAATTTGATAGGAAATTTATACAAGTTATATATACTATTTTATATCATAAATATATAATTTACGGAAAGAAGCGAGTTTTATTAACTCTATCAATAAATTGTATGAAGTTGCACTTATGAAAATATTCTTGTTATTATCTGTCACTTGCTAACAATTGTCTATGTCATGATTTTATCTCGCCCTCCGGACATCCGTCAGTTTGACGTTTCGTTCACTTTCTTATTTTATCTCTTTTTAATTTATATAGCTGAATTTATATACATATTGATCAAAATACATTAATTTATTTATACTTAATTATTTACATGTACCAATGAAATATGATGGTTTACCAAATGTGTATATTATTTGAACTTTCAATTGTTAATTTTGAACATTACTTTCTACAATATTGATTAGATTATCTCAGTGATTTATTCATAATTATTTAAAATTGTAATTCTTCAGTATTTTATATCCAATCTTGGTATCAATATATGAATTATGATTATATAGTTTTTCTTGACATAAACCAGTATATCAAACATATTTGTATAATGATAAAGTTTCATAATGAATTTTAATCATATTTTGATAAAAACAATCAATTTTGTATTATTTATAGAAAAAAGATTTTTTTTTTTTAATTAGGCGGCTAATATTTGTCTGATAGTGCTACGATGTATAGATTTTAATTTAACTTAAAATCTATAAAATAAAAATTTAAAGAATAATTTTCATTTTAATAAAATTAAAAGATTAGCATTTTATTACACAATAGTGGTATATAAAGTACTTTTAGTGTTTGGCTATTAATAGAAAATCCAAATCGAAGAAAACCATTTATATACTATCTAGCATTAACAAAGAGACGATTTATAAATCGTTATTCAAATACTTGTAATTAAATAAAAATTTTATATATAGAAATTATTTTTATAAGTCGAGATCAATTATTCATGATGCTTGAAAACTTGAAGAGTATATAATTTCAAGCATAAAAAATTTAACCGAATCGATCAATTTATTTAATAAGTTAAGTTAGATTTCCATTTTCATATTTATTAATACCATTTATCGTGAAATTTATTGTTTATTATTAATTTCATTAGATACGGAAAAACTCGTCACGGAAGCCGCCTCCAAGCCAACAAGATATATACATACATACATACATGCATACATGCATGCACACACACACACATACACACATACATGCACACGCACATACACACATACATACACACATACATACATACACACACACACACACACACACACATATATATGTAACATGCCAGATGAATGAAGGATTTGTAGCAACACGTGCATATATGCATACATGTGACTACCATCTGAAATTATAAATGGAACATAGTTTCTTATTCTTATGTTTCAAATCTTTGTAGCTTTTGTATTCTCTCCCCCCTTATTCCGTATCTAGTTGATTCTCTTTAAAAATTTACTTTTATATAATTATCAAATCGCCACGATTGCATATACGACTTCTTCGACGTGATGTATTGGCGCCTTTTTCTTAGACTAATTGTCTTCAATAGTCTTTGAGAGCTTCGTTATTCTAATGTATTATTTAGAGAATAATTACGTCATTATGTTAAAAAATTTTCTTTATCTCTATGTTAATCTCTGTTTAGAGTACTTGCACTGCTATCTTCACGTGTTGCTTTTTACTTTTTGTTCGTCTAAAGGAACGGTTCTGTAAATTATTCAGAGAAAAATTGCATATAATTTTAGATCAAAGTACAGTAAGTAAGTAGGAATTAAAAATTATTACCATCTCAAATTTATCAATAAAATAAAATTTAATTTTGAATACTTTGCTTATTCTTTATTTATTTATACGTGTAATTGATCATTATGTTGTTATTTCGATAAGTAAAAAAAAAACATTATTACGTTTATTTAATTATTTATTAACTTTATTTTAATAATAATGAGTATCGTCGATAAAATTTTAATATATAATAGAACATTTTTACGGTTATTTGGAATATATAAAAATTTATTGGTAAGAAAAAACATAATTTAAAATAACTTTTAATCGCTAAATAAATAATATCTTAGAATTATTGTTAATATTGGATACATAAGTAACTTTCATTGTAGCAAACTAAATAATTTAATCAACAAAATATGACCAGTATTTAAGAAAAAGTAATATGAGGGTATTTTAATATTGAACACATAAAAGACCACTACTATTACTATCTCAGCATCTTATATTATCGTCATATTTTAGTAATTGAGGTACATTAACTTTTTATATGTAACTAAATAGCATGTACAAGGCTCATAAATTTTTTAAGAAATATATTCAAGTATCATAATTTTAAGAAGTATTATTAATTATAGAATAATAATAATAATTATTGTAATAGTTATAATTTGTTCGTATTATATTGAATATTTTTAATAAATTTTGTTTTTAGTAGAAAAAGAAATCAAGGAGGGATAGTCAGTGGTGTATTGACTAACATTAAGTCGTGAAAAAATTCGCACTTATTTATCGACTTGTATCATAATATATAATGCCATTTTTTTTTTTTTTTTTTTTGTTCATTATAATAAGTATTGCTAGGTAATTAAATCTTTATACTGATCATTTATCTTTCTTTCTTTTATCAAAAATAAATGAAAAAAAAAAAAAAATTTTAATGTTTCATTCGTAATATAGTTTTACAAATAAATAAATTTTTTTTATTAAATGAATATTATTATAGACGATGAGTGTCATTTATATTAAACAATTATAAGATAATTGAATGCCGAATTGAAAAATATGTAAATGTAAATTATATAAGTTTATTAGTTGTTTTCAATTATTATTAGTTGCGAGGTACATTAAATAAAATAAATAAAATAATGAATGAGTAATGAAATTTTAAGCATGTCAGTCACATGTTCATTATAGCACATTGATATAAAATTTTACATTAACCGAAACTCACCATAAAGCAACGAAGGAAAATATAACGTCAAGTATACCTTCATATACCTCATAAAATATATTAATACACTCTGTTTTAAAATATATATTCACACACTTCGCTTACCCCCTGTGCCGAACATAACAAAAAATCGATATTCCGACGAAGCCCTCACATTTTCGCCCGCAAGTTAGATCACTAAAGAAATCCGTAGTATTAAAGGAAAGAAAAACAGTAAAACGTGAAACAGTGGCGAACAGTTCGGTAGTTGAACTACAAGTTATTTGTAAATTATTTAAAATAATGTTCGCAAGTAAATAGTCACCAGTAGAGAATTTCGCGATGAAATGTATTGCTTGGCGCTCAAACTGGTACTGATGTTGCTGCCGCTGTTGCTGCTGCTATTTGTTACGGTTGCTTTCTCGTCTTGTTCGTTGCCGCGCGAGCGCATAGTACCGGGAAGAAAGAGGAGGAGTTGCCGACCTATGAGCTAAAAGGTGGATCGACGGGAGTTGGAGAACTCTTGGCGTCCTTGCAGGCACATTTAAGGGAGGCCTTAGTGAACACCAGGAAGCGCTCGGTACACGTTCGTGCAAGACCTTTTTACTTCGCAATCTGACATTTGGACCTGCCTGTAATTATATTGTTCTATTGGTTACTCGCGAACGATATGTTTCTTTCCGAAGCAGCCCAACTGCGTTAGCATATGCTTTTGTCATTTAAGAAAAGTAAATTATAAGGCATATGTACTATTATAGAGGAAGCCCGAATTCGATAGCCATTCATTAGAACTAATGAATTCTTACTAACTACCTATATATATATATATATATATATGTCTATCAAATAATTGTTTAAAATATGCTCGACTTTAAAATATTTATTACAATTATCAATCATATTAGATTTATAATTTTATAGCGTGAAAAAAAGAAATATGCAAATCTATTAATATTTTTAATTAATGAAGTTTAATGTAAATGAAAGTTCAATGGTCAGTTAAAATATGTGTAATTTTATATTATCTTATATATATATATATATATATATATATATATATATATATATGTTACTACTATATTATATTATTATAAATTAATTTTTAATCGTAAAACCTAAAAATATTAAAGAAACACTGAAATGTAATTGCTATTACCAATAATACCTAATGCTAACTTTGATAAGACGCATAATATTTTGTTTATGTATCATAATAAAATAATTAGATTGGAAAATTGCTCTACTAAATATACATTAAGCTCAATTTCAGCTTTAAATAATGTATTAATATTCAGTATTTATTTGCTTAGAAAAACGATAATTTAATTATATTTATTTTGTAAGATTATTTGTCTTATTTTAATTTCTTATTTTTCTCATGGAAACTTTATTGATTTTTTTTCCAATAGAATTAATTTCTCGCCCACCTTGTAGAAAAGCTACTTTACAATATTACAAACGAAGTCCACTTTGTATAAACAGATCATAAATAGAAGTGTCAATTACTAAAAAGCAAACGGACATGTGAGATCAACTGCTATGCTTCACATTATACGCATCGTATATTTGCAAGTTTTTCGATATCTTGTAGCGCTCAATCCTCACACAATTAATTCTTTGCACTGTTAAAAATATAATTAATTATATTTTTACATAACATTATTTTATATATAGATTGAATACACAAAAGTTAATTAAAACATTTGTTGAATATGAATATGTGTATGTATTTTTTATTTAAGGTTTTCAATAACATTTTTTCAGAGAATATTATCCAAATGTATTTTATTAATTTTCTCTCTAACTCCTAAATATCGCTTAAATTGATATTGCATAGATAATAATTGTGATCGTGGTTTACTTAATAATTAACCAAATTATTGTAACCGTTTTATAATTAAAAAAAAAATTAATGATAGTATGAACAAATATATATTTCATTTTAAACGTTATGTTTTAATTTTTAATGTAAAAGACAATTTAACAAGACTCGAAAAATCAACGTCGCATTCATATTACATGTCATTATGCTTCCAAACGCTATTGAAAAATTAATGTTGAACATGTGCATTAAAAGTCACTTCTTCTAATAGATAATTTTTTTTTTAGCTCATCGTTGATTTTCATTGATTATAAGACTTTGAAAGTGAAATTGCATAATATCAAAGTTTTGTTTAGGTTAAATGTGAAGTATTTGTAAAGTATTTGTTTAGATTAAATGAGCATTTAAACTTATTTTGTATACCATTACTATTATACTTATTCTAATTCGTAAAATAAAAAATGGATTGATATCACAGTTAAAAATGTTATTAAAGATCTATTTTATGTTTTTTAAAAAATAGAATTTTATTTGTAAAAGATCATACTCTTATAGAAGTTACAGAAATATGTAAAATTCCTATCCCTTATTAAAATTATAGCAAATGTGCAAAATATATTTAAACTTTAAATATTTTCTATTAATTAAGAATGTAGATTATAAAAGGTAAAATTTTTACTTAAATAACATATCAAAATAAAATATAATAGACATATTAATAAAGTAACAAGAAGATAATCGATGTATATGACTCATTTAAATTTAATTATAGTCTAATTTAAAGTTTAAAAATATAAAAGTTTAAGAAAACATGAAGGTTTAACAAAATACTTTTTTGGTATAGAATAAAAATATTTGTATATATATATATATATATTCCCAAATTAATTACAGAAATATAAAATATGCTTAGAATAAAATATACACTATTAATGTAAAAATGATAATTGAAAAAAATGTTTTGCTGTTTACAATATTTTTAATCAGTATAAACTAAAATTGTAGGTTAACAAATATGAAGAATTTATTCATTAACATTAAATAATGTATACACTCTAAACGTTTATGATTATAAATACTATAATCATACTATAATAGGACACCAGTTATAGGAACTTTAGCTATTTGAATAAAATATAGAATGTAAATAATATATCTTATTATAAAAAGATGTTGGCATTGATATCTAATATAATTCTTCTAAATTTGTCATTTTCAAATTTCGATAGTTTTTTTGCCAAACTACATTGAATATGCAAACCTAGAGATTTCAAAATACTACCTAATGAAATTAATGAATCCACTTATTATCAAGAAGAATGCAACATTTCGAAGTAAAAGATAGATTGTAACCATATAGTAATAGACGATCAATAAATCATTTAATTTAGTGGAATATATCGTAAATATGTCAGGCCATAAAAGTACTTAAGAATGTAGGATGCACGTGACGAATTATATAAATTATGTAAAAGAAGAGTGCAAAATAAAAACATTGGTAGAAAATAGAAAATCAATTATCCAAATAAAAAAAGGAGTTTAATCTTTTGTTTTAAAAATAAATGCTTCTCATGATATCACAACGAAGATTAAATGATATTAAGAATATGCAATATTACTAAGAATCCATAGATTAATGAATAACTTTCGAATCCTATAAAGTCATTTGTTTAAAATTCAAAATATTATATAATTAAACTAAAAATTAAAAAGCACTATTAATTAATTAATAATAAAGACAAGATTAACAAGTCTTTTAAAATCAAATGTTTATTATTAGCAGATTAATTTAATTCGTAGTTCATGAAAACATATGCAATAAAGGGAAAAATAAACATGCAAGAATAATTATTCAAACAACTGAAAAATGCCGCCCTCTATATATATTATTATAAATTCTCTTGTTCAGTAATATGAAATGTAAGCTTAGCAATCATAATAAATTATAATAATAACTTAAAATAATGTTGTAAACAATTATTATTTATAAATTTACTCTTTATATTTGAAACCAATTATAAAGCATGTTCAAGTATAAATATAAAAATGTAAATTAATTTTTTTATCTATTAAATATATTGTGTTATTTTTATAGATTATTGTATATATAAATAAAATATATGAACTCAAAAAAATAAATTGATATAGTATTACGAAGTGTGTTATGTCTTATTAAAAATCATATTAAGTTCTAATTGATAAATGCTTATATTTTTTATTTCATTTATTGAATTTCTGTATTGAAGCTAAGGAGATATATTATATATTAAATATTAGAAAAATCCTTTCCCATTTCCTAAGGTTGGAATATCTCCACCAAGAAAAACAATTTTATCCATAGGATTGGGATGTTTAATCATCATGTTACCATAATTTTCCAATTGAAATTCAGATTTTTGAGAAAGCCATCCATACTAAAAATAAATTTAGCTTCAAGATTAATTATACAATTAAGACTTTTCTAATAAAATATTAATTTAATACATAAAGAAATTTAAAAAGTAATTGTAATTTGTAATTCATACAAATTGGTGGATAATCAGTTGTAGTAAAAATAAAAAAATCAATAAATGTAATATAATATAATAATATTGTAATACAATAATCTCTGTAATAATTCAAATATTTATTAATAAGATTAAAAAAGCAATATCTATCTAATTACATATTATCTTAAACAATTTATCGTTTTTATTTTTAAAATTTCATGCAAGTAATTTACGTATTTAAGCAGCTATTATTCAAGACTTAATACATTATTTAAAATATATCATTTAAATAATTTTATGTAATTCTACAAAAAAAAATTGTTTTGTTAATTTTTTTAATACTTCTTTTAGAATTAGTTGAATATAGAAGCATAATTACAATCACTTACGTGCATATGTATAACAAATAAAGATAAAACATAAAAGTTAACCGAAAAAAAAAACTCTAATAACATTGGATTATAGATATACTATAATTTTTGCTTTGATAAAAATATCAATAAAATATAGAATAAACTACTTTGTAAAGTAAAAGCTTACAGTCCGATTGAAAGTTTCAGGAAATGGATGGCATGTTCTTTTATCAATTTCAATTTTACTACTTTTTTCAATTGCTTGTCGGTCGTTACGTATTTCATTTAGCTTTGTTTCCAGTTCTCTTAAAAAATTATATTTAATTATTATAAGTAACAAATTAAAATTTTATAATGCAAAATTGTATAATTACCTATATTTTCTACATAACCATTGATTATCTCTTTGCCATCTTATTTGAAGGGCTTTGTGTTTATTGATATTAACGGTTATATTTCGCGATGCTGAAACAAAATCAAACACCTTAGTACTTCGAAAATCCATTTTAATTTTTAATAATATTATCAAATATAAGGTAAACAAATAATTTATATAATTTTGGCCACGCGAAAAAAAAAATTACTTAAACAAAACAAACACTTATAAATGTTATATAAATAGATTCGAATAAATAATCGCATATATAAATGATCTTCTTTGTTATTTTAATATACTTGCGCAATTACTATCTTATACATTCTCAAACATTATTAAATCGGATATAAAATAAAAAATTAATTCTGCTAGATATTAAAATGTCTATAAATTACACTTCTTGGTACATAAAATGCAAACAATAAATAATATATAGTATTAAAATAAATGTTAAACATGATTAGAATTTTATGTTTGTATTTCATTAACAGTCCAATGATTTGAAAATTATAAACGATTAATGCCATTCTGATTCATTATATTATTTCAATTTTTTTTTTTATTTTTTTTTTTTTTTTTTTTTTTTTTTTTTTTTTTTTTGTTTTTTATAAATACATGGAAAGAATATTAAAATTATCACAATCGATTAAGAAACAATTTTAAAAGCATAAATGCCATTTTACAACATGTATATATATATATATATATATATACACGTACGTATATATATATATATATGTATATGTGTATGTATACGTGTATATATATATATATATATATATACATGTTGTAATATATATACTTAAACTTTTATCAGGATTAGTGCATATAACGAACGGTATTCGGAGGATTTTATCATTATAGGTGACTGCGTTAAAGGCGCACTCTTCCAATCATAACCTGGACAAATTAAAAATATCTACAAATATTCCAGCGGCTCCGAAATTATTATAGAAGTACAACGCAGGTAACCTCATACTGCTTGGTTTTAATGCGTAAAATCCGCAAAACTGCAAGACTCGTAAGAACCGGCTTATAGTTAACCTTCCTCCGATCCTCCCCCTTATCCGTCATACGCCCCCGCAATAACAACCTTCATTTATTTCGATAAGTGCGTTCGTTCGCTCGATTATCATCGTACACTTTTATTTTCGTATGTGTGATAATAAAAAATTTTTCTTTCACATTATCCTGATCGGCTACCTTATTATGTACAAATTAACTCACAAGCCGTTTTATTAATTTCCATGCTAACTACTGTTTGTGCAGTGAGTCGCTGGCAAATCTGATGAATCTCCTCCCATTTCTCTCTTCCTCCTTCGTGGGAATAAGTAAAGGAAAGCGACAACCACGAGACGCCCCAATGGAACACGTGTATCCACGACTGTTCCACAGCTTGTGCATCTCGGGCAATTCTCGTCATGTATTATTGTTCTTTGCCGAGTATTAGTAAATATAATACTGTTGCATTATATTTCCAAGTAATTAATGTGACGCTCAACTACTTTTATAATCGGCGTCACGCGGTTGCTTCTATTAGATCGAAAGAATATTCTCTAGTTAGCAAAAGAATATAGGAGTTGGCATGTGTTAATACCAAATAAAAGTAGTCTTGTTAGAGCATATTGACATTGTAATTATATATGTACAATATAAAAAAATTATCTAAATACAATCTCATGAAATTAAAACATGAAAAAATACAAGTTGTAATAAAGATGTAAAATAACATCCGAAAGTTAAAACATCAAATAGGCTCGTAGATGATATTAATAATTTCTGAATGTTTATTAATGATCGATGTCACTACAATTCAAAGTAAAGCTAAAATTTTTAATAGAACTCAAAATTCATATATGCTATTGATCCCTAAATGTCGGTAAAATTACAAAATTGAGATAATCACAATTGACGCTCTAACAACATTGTAATAAACAGCATTGTATTATTAAAAAATATGATTAGTACAGTGGACATGTATTAAGATATTTTTATTTTTCCTGTGACTGCATACTAATTGCTACTAATTATTATTCAATGCTGAACTTTTAATATAAATTTTCATGTGTACATTACGTGTAAAGAAATAGAACGCTAATAATTTGGTTTCTTGCTAAATGATTGATTTCAACAAGATTTTGCGATCAAGTGATTTCTTAAAAGTAAAATATGTATCATATTTATTGAGATATCAATTTTCAAAAACTTGTAAATAGTACATCTATTTGATTAGTTTTTAGAATAACGATATCAAATTAAATTTTTGCGAATAATTTGGATGCTGCATGATAAGTATGTAGTTGTAATTGTGAAATATTCATAGATATAAGCGTCAATTCAACAATATGAAATATTTAAATTTTAATTGCTTTTAAAAATGTCCATTTATATGTTTTATAAATTTTTTAATTCAAATTCAATACTATCTTATAGTAATGAATTTAAAAGTGAGATTTATTCATTTATTCATTAATCTTCATTATAGTAAAACCGTACGATAATAATTGTCATACATTAATTATAAGTTCTGTGTTGTGCAAAAAATATCATATTCTAAAACATAATATATTTTTAATAATTTAGTTTAAAAAATAATTGATAAATTTTACTTTTACCCATACTTATTTTACAAATATTTTATAAGCGTAAAAATTCAAAATTTTTATCTTTTACAAAAGTTGAATCAATTAATAGAAAGAGAAACATTTTTCAATATCCACAAAAATTAAAATTTAACGAAAATAGTGTAGCATAAAAATTAATTGTTAGCTTAAATTAAGAAACACTAATGGATATTTTTTCGGTAAATCAAAGGTGTCAAATTTGCCGAAATCACTGCAAATTACATTCATACAATTTAATGTCAGTTGATAAGGGATAAATTGTTGTCCATTGATTACAAAAATATTAAGTTAACAAATTACAGAACACAAATGAAGAAATAAGCGTTTTGGATCTACAAGTATATTTTTCAAAAATTTGAAATAATTTTAACTTTTAAATGGAAATTTATAAAATTATTTACATTTTATTTTTAACACTTTACTAAATTCTGAATAAATACCTACCCTATTAATAAAAATTAATTAGGCGTATCATTAAAAATTATTAATTTAATTATTTAATTACTGAATTATTTAACATACATTATTAAATAATTGTTGAATATACGAAATTTAATTTAAATAAACAGAACTCTCTAGTTTTTTTTTTTTTTTTTTATTATCAAAACAAATTATCATACACATTTGAAGAATAGGTTCCAATAAACAAGAGAATTGAATAAACTGTTTATGATATAAATAAATGTCATTTTATTATAAACACATGTACATATTTTTATTCGCTGCATCAATATTCATTTTTTGTTTTTAAAACACATTTTGATGCTGTCTTGTCATTATCTATTTTTAAAAAAAGATGTACAATTGTCAAATATTATTCTAATAGAAGTATTTTGTTAATTATTCTAGATAAATCTTGTTGGTCATTCAGTTTACAAAAGTAATATTGAATATTAGAAATAGAAAAACAATATATCTTTACAAATATGATAATTCTTGTTTTAAAAGTATATCATTAAATACGCTTTATCGACTATAAACAGTAGTATTAAACACTTGACAAAAAGTCTTCAATATGGTTTTTGGACGATATTATTATCACAGACATACAGGTCTGTAAAGACAATATGTTATATTGTGAATAACGATCACTGCAATTTGAAATATGCAGCTCCGTAACATTAAGTTGGGAAGTAAATTCTGTTTACGCATACAACAATACTAATAAGAAAGTCAAAAATGAAAAATTTTATAGAAATAGAAGTATTTAATACCCAAGTATAATGATTACTTCTAAATAATGGAAGATTCCTATCGGACACGTTCATTAAGAGCCTATAACTATATTTGAGTATCCGTGATTTTAAGGAAAAAAAATCAGATTATTAATAAAAAATAAAATTCTTTAATTAAAGAAATGTAAAGCCAAAAACCAATGTGGCTCAATATATAAATTTTAAAAGAACTGAATAAACATTCACGATAAGATGAAATGAATGTTATGATAATTTTAATTATGAAAATTGACCTAAATATCAAGAATAAGTTTACAAATCTGTTTTCTGGGGCTTTGCATATTTCGATTTCAATTCTTCTATTCTATTGATAAAATCAGTCTTTTCGATGCATCCATCGCATACTTCATCCCAATCGTCAAGTATCTTCTTCAAGTCCCGAACCTTCAATTTCTTCAGATTAACTGTATTCAAGTCAATTTGTTTTTCTAGAATAAATAAGGAAACAATAAAATAATTTTATTATTATTTACTATTAAACCTTTTATTAATGCTTAATACATGCAAAATTATATTACAGGTAAATAAATATTTATATACGATTGAATTTATAGTAAATATTGTAAAACTACCTTTTTGTCGAAGTAATCTAAACAACAAATTGTTCAAAATTGTATATACTAGAACGTTTTCAAATCCTTTAAGTAAATATTGAAACGACTAATTTATAGATAGTAAGCATGTACAATTTGGAAATTAATTTTACAAAAAAAAAAAAAAAAAAAAAAATTATTCTTCTATTTACATAAAAAAGTACATTAAAAAGTTGAAATTTTATTAAAATATAGTATATAATTATTATACTTATATGATTCATAAAGTTTGATAAGAATATTATCATTGTCATTAAAATTCATTTTGTTTTAAACACAAAAAATTTATAAAGAATTATTATGATTAAATCTTGTTCCATTACTACCCATACAAACCGTACGTATAAATATCAAATAACAATTGTACTAATAATTACAATCTGGAGATTACAAAATAAAACTTACCGTATCTTAAATCGCAAATTTGTGCATCCTTTTTCTTTAATTTTTCACAAATTTTCTCTGCTGGAAGAGACCATGATAAAGGCTTACTAAGTTCACCCAAAATACCAGTAGCAGATTCTTCAAGACCTCCCAAATAATAGCACTGGAAAATTTTTTATTATATTATAAGAAAAAATAGAGAAAGAAAAAAAAAATCAAATTAACAAATCTTCATATTTAAAATGACTTACAAATCTGTTTTCTTTATTTTTTGTACCTTTACAAAACGTTTTGAACATAGATTCTATTTTTTTGTAATCACTTTTCACTTCGTCTGATAATGTTTGAGCAAAATTATTAACAGTTGCTACACATACTGAAAGTATTAAAAATATTGAATTGAATAAATGTATAAAAATAATCGCTGAACAATATAATAATGAAATACTTGATATATAAATTGATCGATAGCATTACTTTCATCGCTATTATTATTATTATTTTATTATTATTATTATTATTATTATTATTATTATTATAAAATTAATAAAAATTTATTTGAGACTTGCTTTACCTTCGCATTCGCCTTCTTTTAATCCATATACACTATTATAAGCAATTAACATTGAAAATATCGATATAAATATTGAATTCATTTTTGCTTTAATAAATATTGTTGATCTAAAAACGAAATATCATGCTTATTAATCATATTAATTATATCAAATATGCTTGATATTATTTGATAACCTTTTATACGAAATACATTTAATAATACTATTGTAATAATAGAATAACAACAATGTAATATTTTAAGTGTTAATACAATTGAGGGAAGTAACGGTAATAAGGAAATCTCATTAGTTAAGACTCGTAATACATGAGATATAAAATAATGCAACAACTTGAAGAAATAAAACACGAAACCAATAATTTAAAAAATCTTATCAATCAAACAATAAATAAAATCAAATATAATTATATATGCACATATGCATATGCATATATATATATATATATATACACGCACCCACGCACACACACGCGCACCCACCCACACACACACACACACACACACACACACGCACACACGCACACACGCACACACGCACACACGCACACACGCACATATAAAAATTTATGAATTAAATAATGTCTTACCTGTTTACAACTCAATAAAAATCCCTGGGACTTACGTTTGTCAACCTTTTATACACGTTGATGGTAAGACATTCTGTCAAATGTTAAGTGCGCCGAATGAATACCCAGCTGGCGCCTTCTCATTGGTTATTCTTCTATTTATTAAATATTACGGAGTGCAAGCTAATTGGCAGATTTGAAATTCCTGTGCTTTGGCGTTTTTTTTAGAAAACATAATCCTAATGAGAATTGAACTATAATTTCTACAAGTTAACGATTCTCGTGATTTTGGCGAACTAATTTTGCAGTACTTGTGGCGATCGATTTCGATTGAATATGTGAATTGTAATGATAGACTGGAAAGATCTTGTGTTATGCTTTGATTTTGATCAAACTTTACAAATAAAACAGCGAAAGAAATTAATCAAATAATTGTAATTTAATGAAATGCTATTCACATCGTATGCAGTGAATAATGTTAATTATCAAAATTCTTTTAAAATATATACATGTATATTTATTTATTTATTTATTTATTTATTTATTTATTTATTTATTTATTTAGTAGTTTGTAAGTTAATTATAATTCGGTAGAATGCAGTTCTAACTCGAGTGTTCGAGCAACGAGTGAACAATTAAATCGGTCTGTATTTTGTAAATGATAAATAGATGACTAATTTGCCAGTCAGTCTACGTGAAATCATTTTCCAAATTCTATACATTCAAATCATCCTTTATGTTTCCTCTTTCGTATTTTTTCATAGTATTGCCTAATTAATCACTTTTAATTTATTCTATTTATTATATAAATAATAAATATTTAATGATATGCTAGATATTATTAATTATGTTACAATAATATTAAGTAAAGAAAAATATGCGATATCGAATTCGATAATTATATGTCCAAGCTGGTGTATTCACTTATCTACATTCATCTGTAAATCTGCAGCTTTAATTGTGTAATCCATGCAAATTTAAATACTAAAAACTGTTATAAGTATACTTTATTGATTTAAACAATAATATTTCACTAATTTTCCGAAAAACATTCTCATTCGGTGAAGCTTTTAATACATAAAAATATTCAATACTTTTAAATAGACTAAACACACATTAATTTATATAAATTATTTTTTCCATTCTTTATAGTATAATCAATGGTAAAATTTTTTTTTTTTTTTTTAGTTCTACTGTTTAATTTACTTTATATATTTTTTAAAATTATTTAATGTTAATTTTAAATCAGCAATATTGTTACCGAGTTATTATCATTTATTATTATTCTTATATCGATATGCACATTATAGATATTTATAAATATAATTATCTATAATATAAAATAGAAAGATTTTATAAATAAATGCAATAAATTTTAATAAAAATACGTTAAATTAATTATAAATATTAATTTTTTAGATACTGTTGTCATTGGAAAATAAGTTCTCGGAATGTAATTATTTTATTATTTATCATATCATTAAAAGTACGAATAATTAAACTCCATTAATCGGAATACAATAAAAATATAATATTAAAAAATAGCATTCAATGTATTGTTAAAAAATATAATTATTTTATACAAAATTAAGTTATAGCCACAACATCTTAAGACTTCAAAAAATAATTTGCATTAATATTAATTGATAATAGTTCGATTATCACTTATATCGATAAAATTAAATTAAAAATAATAGTAAGAAAGATCATTGGACAACTAATACAGTTACGTATATTAGTTTACTGAAAAGAATTTAAAATGATAACTTTATACCCGTAAAAAGAATAATAGAACATTGTGCAACGTACCATGTATCTGTTTAAAGTATAAAGTAGTTTTCCACCATTAGATTTTCATATAACATACACTAAAGGCGTCAGATGTAGTAGTAAATTATTTAATACGCATAAATAACAATGTCAATTATTTATGTCAACCGATCGATAATGTATCATAACATACGATCTTTATACAAATCGATTTGTATAAATGTTTCGATACAATACTCTGTCTTTCTCTCTCTCTCTCTCTCTCTCTCTCTCTCTCTATATATATATATATATATATATATATATATATATATATATATAAATTAAAAATAAAATTTTCATTAATTGAGAAATTTGTTATAACGTCTTAATTAACTTTATTGCTTTATTCCAATTACTGGAATAAAAAATGTTATGGAAAATGTTACTCGATAATATTTAAATTCTTTATTAAATAATAGTTATGATTCCATTATCTTTGTTCACACTGTTAAAAGAAAAAAGAGTATATCATAAAAAAAAAAAATCCTAAAGTATAAAGGATTTAATAATATATGTATTTAAGGCATGTTTAATTTCTCAATTTACTTAACCTACGAAAATTCTAGTCCAGTAGGGTACTCCAATGCTCTTAAATATCATCTCATTTATTAAGTAACATATTTAAATATTAAGTTAAAATATTAAATAACATACATTGATAAGCGCTAGGATATTCTGCTATATTATTATTGCATTTACAGGTCAATTAAAATAGTGGGGACGGATAAGCTTGAGAAATAAAGAATAGACTAGATATTGTTTTTCTAGGTATCCTAATAAATAAACTGAACTACCAACGATAAGTTATATTTCAAGAAATTTTAAGTCTATAATATAACGCTTTTATAAATACCTATGTTCAGTAGTTTAAAGGCAATAAATAATGAAATTTAAAATTTTAATAAATATTGTTCCAATGCAACAAAAACACAATGAGATTTTATCTTATATTGTGATATAAAATGATACATATTTCACTGTAAGCGCGCACGCAATTGTTATGCAGCACGTATGAATGCGATAGCGATACGTCAAATTGTGATTCTCCAATGATGAGTTTCTTACAATTTATAATCGGCAAATCACCATGAAAGAAATAAATATAACAGTGCAGCAAAGCTCACACCCAATGTTAAAAATTAATTCGACGAAGCAGTCGTGAAAGTCCGTTAGCCTAATGTACTATTGTTAACTGCGGTCGAGCCTTTCTCAAGAATCGAAAGAATCCTTCTCTTTTGAGGTTTTTTTTTTTTTTTTTTTTTTTTTTTTTTTTTTTTTTTTTATGAAGCTTCGTCATTTTTATTATGACAGTGATTTTAATTCAATACATCTGTTTACAGCACTATATAAATTTCAGATCACTCACATCTCCAGTAGCTTACGGAAACATCTATTCTATCCCTCCAGACTAGAAGTGATTTGTTATTTTAGTATTATATCCGATTGTGTAAACTTTCCTGACCTACGTACATTCTCTTCCATCACTTCCATTTTGGCTCGTGTGAATAACCCTTCAATGTCCGCTAATACATTGTTTGTATTTTTGAACATTTGTGCGATCACAGTATCACATAAGTAAGTATCAATTAATTAAATGAATTCAAAAGAAATTAAAAATGAAAAACATATAAACAATATGAAACTAAACGTACATAAATATTAAATATGCATCCATAATATTTTATACATTTGTGACCATAATTAGTAGTTGGTTCATCTAGCCAAGATCTCCAGTTCCCTTCTTCGACTTTCGAGTCATCAATGATCAACATCGGATCAACACAATATACAACTAATCACTAAACTCGTCGATGACCCCCGTATTATTATTAAGCAATATTGATTAAGTAGACTATAATATTCATCTATAATGGGACAATTGATAATCTAATATCAGCGATTTGAACAAAAGTTGAGCTTCTCGATTTTTGGCAAATTGTTCGCTTAAAATTTTGCAACTGACGCTTCTTCTATATGCCCCCTCGTAGCCGCTAATTGAAAGCGACAATTCATCTTCCCTAGCAGAATTCGAATATTAATTTAAGTGTCTCATTATTATAATAAATTAGAAAATATTAATATATAAATAGATTTGAACAAGATGCGATCGTTGAGGATTTTGAAATCAAGCGTCAAATTAATTTAACTAACATTAATTACAAAGTAAAAAATGCTTGATTAAAATTTTATAGGAATAAATTTTCTTACAACGAACATCAAATCGAATGGCTTAAGCGCTCAAACGACCAATTTCAAAAGGAATTCTGATATTAACCTTTTTGTTAAATTGCATGTAATGTAGGTAAAGCTTATGTTGCGCAATGTATAGTTCACGTGCATCATTCTCCATCGGCGTTGCATCGACACTAGCGCAATCAAATACAAGTCCAAATCATTAATAGCCGGAGAAATAATTTTACAAATTCAAAAACAATAACCGACAATTTCATTCCAATAATCTAAAAGTCGAATGATTACAATTTCTAACCAAAGTGAAATAAATGAGTCGATTCATTGTTCATCCTATTTTCTTTCTAAAACATAATATCAATTGTATATCTAGAAGCTTTCGTACGACATTTAAAACAATGACTATATCTGTAAGTTGCTTATGCATGTATTTATCATTATTATACAATGAACGGATAATTCTCTTATAATATAAATAAACAGCAAATAAGAAAATAATGTCTTAGAAATCATTGTGACTGAATTCTTGCTTTTCTTATTTTACAATTCGGCATTACTCAAATACACGTTTTGTTATAAATGCATATTATCGATTGTAATTGCAATTCTTGCATAAAAAATTATAAAAAATCTAATTGCATTGATTTAAGGTTCATTTTAATTTTTTCTTCTTTATGCAAATGAACACAGTTTTTAATATTATTTGTAGATTTCATATTTTCTTAATACCAATTAACAGTTGCATTTCAATAAAATAATTTTCATAACATCATCGATGATTATAAATATTTATTTAACATATAGATAGGTGATAGGCTACCTGAAGTTGATTTATATGAAGATACCCCAGCCAATAAAATCAACTTGGCTAAAGCTTCAATTGGGAAAAAATTGATCATTTTTGGTGTGCCAGGTGCATTTACTCCAGGATGTTCAAAAGTAAGTTCTATGTATTTTTAAACTCGTTATGAAATAGATACGTATGACCTCTCATTTATTATATCAACAAATTCAATCGAATTTATTTAACTTATATTATTGGCTAAATAATCAAAATAATATTGGTTAATTGAATGAACCGATACGTATTGAATATTTATTGCTTTAAATATCAATATATCACAAGTTTTATTTCAAAAATATACCGAGTAAGGCAATTAATAACATAGAGTGAGTATGACATTTTTCACTTTGAATTTTCAAACTGTAGACGCATCTGCCAGGTTATATTAAAAAAGCGGAAGAATTTAAATCAAATGGCTATAATGAAATTTTCTGTGTCGCTGTGAATGACCCATTTGTGATGTCTGCATGGGGAAAACAAACCAATGTTGATGGAAAGGTATAATAATTAATAATATTATTAATTCTTTAATTCTTGGTCCTAATTTTGGAATTGTTATTTTTCTATATACTAATTATACATCTTATTTTTTATTTACATAAATATTTATTTAACTTATGAATTATTTAGTAAATATTATTAAATTAATTTATCATAATACACAAGTACGTGATAGTTAATTGTATTATTTTTATGAAAATAATAATGCTACAATGTTATTTAGGTTCGGATGCTAGCCGATCCCGCTTGTAAATTTACAGATGCATTAGAACTTTCTGTTAATTTGGATGTTCTGGGAGGAAAGCGTAGTAAACGTTACTCTATGGTCGTTGAAGATGGTAAAGTAATTGATTTAAATGTTGAACCCGATAATACTGGTCTAAGTTGTTCATTAGCTGACAATATCAAATAGAAAATAAGATACAATTATAAATTATTCAATAACGGATTATATATTTAATAATATAATAATACAATAAAAATAATACCAGTTGTAATTAATGATGATAATAATAATAAAAAGAAAAATTAAAGAATTTAGATTTAAAGAATTTTATTTATTATTATTTCAAAAAGTTTTATTTCTATTCTAAATATATAAGAAATATTATCTTCGAATGATGTAAAAAGTATTGCCAGATTTTACATTGTATTTAATATATATAATATAATAAAATTAGATAAATTTCTAAAAATCAAGAAATTTTAAGAAAATTATTATTAACTATAAGAGTATTATAATTATCGTGTATTACAAATTAATTACATAAATATATCGGATGTTAATTGTACATATAATTTGCAATTTCAAATTATATAATCTAAAAGATGTATAAAAAAATTAATACCAGAATGATAAACATATTTTTGCATTTAATTGACCAAGAAAAATTCCAAATTATGACATAGTTTGATTTATTGGAAAATGCATTGAAAGATAAAAATGCTTAATATATTATATAATTAAAAGTTAGAATTTACTATAATTTACTACTACTACACTAGATCACTTATATTAATTAATAAGAATAAATAAGTCAAGAAATTTTTTTTGTTTACCTACACTGTTATCATTTTTCCTGTTTACAATTTAGAATTTCTAATATATAAAGTATAAATCTCAAGGCAAAGTGCCTATTATGAATTTATGTAATATATATTTTAAGCTGTATGAGTAGCTGTTATACTTTTTTAAATTTCAATGAAATATTATAAAGTATTTTATGAAAATATTTATTAAAATACACTTATTAGGATATATAGATATATAATTTTAAGATATTTTTCCATTTGTACACTTGATTATTTAAAAATGATTTATAAACCATATAATTTTTAAATTACTAGTATTAAAATAGTAATACAATAATGACATACCGTTTTTAGTTACTTATCTTTTAAATTATTGATTATTAATTCGAATAGATTTAATTACTCAATATTATTATGACTAGAATAATAATGTGTATTGTATTTAATAATAATTGTAATTAATAATAGTTAATAATATTTGCTATTATTGTAAAAAAGCTTTACTAATATCATTTTTTAGAATGAAAAATTTTATCAGGTCTCCGTCAGTAGACTGAAGAATTGACTTTCTCGCTATTTCATAAAGACATTGTGCTAATTGATTATGATTACAATTTATAATTTCTAATTTGTAAATATGTAGTAATTTTTTTACTTTTATGTTAATTGTTGTTACAGAGTCTTCGATTATGTATAAATTTGTATTAAGGATCTATAGCTTCGAAAACCTTTAAAAAATTTTTAATGTAAGCCAAAATCGTTAATTAATAATTACATGTATTAGAATTTCGTTGAACAGATACGAATTTTTCGATGAAATATCTACAAAGTTTGTGTTTATTCTAGGACTATAGTTCTATTAATTTATTGAATGTATCTGTGGTAAAACATAATTTAATGGTTGAACTTTGATAAATAAATTAGCTAGGATCAATAACGTATACTATTACTCAAATTGACGCTATCGCTTATTATAAAGTATTATTATTCTAGTATTTTTATACTTATTAGTATTGCCTAGCAATACTTGTATCCTAATATAATTCTTGATTAAATAGTTAAGTTTATCATATTTAAAAAATGCCATTATTCATTCATAATAGATGGTTTTAAATCTGCGGATACAATAGCATTGTGCACTCATACTATATCGTATATACATTAGAATATTATATGCTAAATAAAATTGATATAATATTATTATAATAGGTAGAATGTTCGATCTGCCATGTAAACAAAACGACAAAAAACTAAATAAATAATGAATATAATTGGTATTTTAAAAATTATACATTTTAATTTAACAAAAGGAACTTATCAATAAATTTGATCGAAAATACTTATTTTGAGTAAAAAAAAGTTACCGAAGTAACCGGTTTTCATTATAGCATTAAAATAAAAAAAAACTATTTAACAATAAACAAAACATTTTAAATTAAAAATTAAATACAAATGTCTCTAAAATATTAGAAAACATTAACGTTGACGGTCGATTGTTCTTGTATTAAAAGTGAAAAAATTAACAAATAAATAATAATTATCACGAATTGTATTATACTTAAGGTAATTGTTTTTTTTTTTCTAAATAAAATGTCATCTAGCAACAAAATTAAAAAATACCATTTCTTTTTCTCTTCGTAATTTATTAAAAAATTTGATACTATCTCTCACAACGTTCAAAACAAATATGTTTTTCGTCAATATATCTTCAGCAATTAATGCCCTTACCGTACACTTAAAAGTAAAATCAGCAATCTTAAAAAAAAAAAAGATTTACAAAAGTAATGGTGTATGCGCACATATGCATAACGTAACAGTATTATTAAGGCACTTGAGTTTACCGACGTACTCGTAATAATAATGAATGATTTTTAATCATGTTCGTACATAATGATCACTATTAATAACTTCGGTCATAGCTTCATAGAGCGCCGTTATTCTTTCGATTTGTTTGTTATTAAGCACCACCGAGTTTAAATTTGAAAGCGTCTTCACGCTTTCCTCCATCGTAGCCTCTCTATCCAATAGATATAATATCCAAAAATCTAGATTCGCTATGTAAACAGCAATACCTAAAAGATTCCATCGACTGAACATTATCTCTATGCAACTGAGGTACGATTAATCACGAGATAGCGGCGCACCTCGCGCATTTCTACAAATTTCAAGATGATAATAGAGATCTTTACATTAAAAATGTAAAAATAGCCATTGGATCTAACTATCTGTAGGCGTTAAAAAAATATTTCTCTTTAAATGGATTTAATGGCTTTTTAACAATACCACAAGCATCTGTGATTTCGCTGTGATTATAAATCTTACCGATGTAAGACGTAGAGGTTAAACAAAATTTATAAAACAATTACAAAGTCCGATAAGTCAAATAAATCCAAAAGCAAATTCTCGATAATATAATGTACGATTAAATTGTTTAATGCTCATTGATATGCTTCTATGATTATTGCATTCTTTTATTTTTTTTTTTACCCTCCTTTTAACCGACTATTTTTCTTTAAAAGAAGAAGAAAAAGAAGAAGAAGAAAACAATTTAGTTAATAAGATATAAAAATTTGGTAAGTATTATGAGCATTTATAATTTGATGAAATAGATCCGACAATAAAATAATAAGGTTAAAATAAATTAAATATATTTGGACTTAAGTTTTAATGTTTTATTATAGAAATTAATTAAAGCATAAAAATAATAAAAGATGCAGTTGAAATGTGAGATTATTAGGAATATGTCATTACTTATAAGCCTGATAATATATCTGTTTTTTTTTTTGTTACTGTTTTTGTTTGTTATTGTTATTCTCTTCTAATTTTACGTTAATTTGTTTTTCGTAACATTTCCTATTCCAATATATAATACATTATATATGCATATATATATATATATATATATATATATATATATATGCGCGTGTGTGCGTGTGTGTGGGTGTGTGGTTGTGCGCGCGCGCGTATATTTACGTAATGGAGCGCTTGCAAGGATATCTGTTTGTTTTCATTAATGATTAGTTAAGCGCATCACTTAGGAGCTTAAATTTTAATCTACATATATTATTTGGGTGATCTTGACTCGTTACGTCAACTAATAACTCAATCTTTGAATTCTTCTTGCATTTGATCGTTGCTATAAGAATTAATTGTACGTAAAAAAAAAATACATTGTATAAAAATTTATTCAACTTTATTGTATTAAATAACAACTTTATTTAAGAGTATGAATATTGTAACTGATTTTAACCGTATCAATTCTAATAATTATTATTGTAATTGACTGCTTCGTATGATCTTTCATGTATTCTTTACCATAAATCAAAATATCGTTTAAATATCTTTAAAGATGATAAACGTAGTTTCATAATAACACGATATGTAACAATATTAAACGAATGTCTGATTTTTGTATTAAATAGGTGAAGTATTAAATACTTGATGAATGAAGTACGAACGTAACCGTTATCTTCACATAGGCTATAGAAATTTTACTATTTCTAATTGTCAAATATACGAAACGTAAGTAAATAAAGTATCGAGTAACTATAATAAATTATCATGTTATTTGATGAAACATCTAGAAGAATCTAACGATGTTTACGCATCTCTTCATTTTAAAAAACAGTTATTTTCGATCGGTAGTTCATAGATTTAGCAATTTTTGAGGACTGTTCTACAAAAATATTTTCTTATAATATGAAAAAGTTTTTTTGTTTGTTCTATGCTCTTTAAAATTTAGTATGTAATTTACAATTTTTAAATTATTTGAATTAATACAATTATTATTATAGTTTCATTCATTTTATTTGATAAACTAACATTTATAATACCATAAATTAAATAGTTTTTAATTGTCGATATTTTAAGGAACATTAACAATTATTCAAATAATATAATCATAAAATCTATTTTTTATTAATATTGTGGCTTGAAAAAATTTGACTTTCAATAACTGATATGTTTTTTTAAAACATTTAAAAATTAACATATCAAGTTGTTTTTTAATTCTAATATTTTGAAATATTAGCAAATATCTGCAATTTTTTATGTAAAAAGTGGTATTATAATTAGCTAATGTTAAATATTAAGATTGCAAATTTTAAATGTACTTATGTCATCTTATTATTTGCTGTTATGTGATAAACTCATATTTCGCGCGATATAATCGTTGATTGACTTAATGTTTTTGTTTAATATTTTAATTATCCCGTATAATAAATTATAAGAATAAAAAATTCAAACTAAATGTATTCTACGTGAATACAGATCGAGTCTTAATTAGTGAATTAGTGACTTTTATTTATCTTTGGCACTGTAACAATTTTCATCTTCATTCTCGCTATTTTAACCAAGGATAACCTATTGTTATGTATCGTATGAAACATGTATGTTTACAAAAAATAAAAACACGGGCTTAATCATAATTTACAAATGCATTTTTTATTCAATTAGACGTCTTTTGAAACACTGTGCTTGTCGAAGATCTTTAATGATCACATGAATTCAAATTTTTTAATTGCAATCGAAAAATGAGTGAGTTTAAGCTACACCATCTTATTGTTGAATTAATTGAATTACTTGGGTATGAAAAATAATATAAGTAAAATATAAAATAAAGACTGGTTTAATAATATTGTGATGATTTCTTACGTTGTAGGTCTTCATCTGCTCCAGAGAAACATGTCGAGCGATTGCAAAAAGAAGGAGCTATAACAAATCCATTAACATTAAATACTGTAGCTACTCAAAGCTGCGTACGACAACTTATTACAAATTCACCAAATTCCGAGTTATTTATCAAAAAATATGAAGAACTTAAGTCAAAAAAGTAAAGTATAAAATTCAATTTCAATTATTTATTTATTCAATGAAATTATAATACAATGATAATAATATGTTTAGGGTTGACTTATTAGGACCATTTATGCAATTATTAGAGTTTATATCCGTTGATAGAGAACTAAAAAAATATTTAGCTGAAAATTCATCGTTAGCTCAAACTACTTCTAAAAGTACAATTATTACTAATGAAGATCTACCTAAGGTTTTTGTTTGAATTTATATTAGTGTTAATTATTTTCAAATTTACATTATACTCAACTTTTATAAAATTACTTTGCATTCAATAGATCTTTAAAAATGTGATTAAAGCTGTAGTTGAAGGAGAAAAGAAACTTAATAAACAAACATGCCCATTAAATAGACAAAATGATGCAATACTAACAAAGTATACATGGTCTACCGAGAGACCTCGACTATCATGGGATTTTCAAGCAGATTCTACAATATCACTCGCCCAAAGTAAATCTATTGTATTATTATTACATATTTATTCCACATATTTATATTAACTTTATAAATTATTTCTTAAATTATTTCTTAAATTATATTGCAGAAGTTGTCCCATCAATATCCCAAGAGTCAGTTCTTCTTTGGGATATATTACAGTGTTTAAAGGGAATCGATGGATTTTACATAGTTTCGGAAATATCGAGTTTTTATAGTCCTGTAACATTTAAAATATCACCGGATGTTGGTACGTACCAATATTTATAATAATGTAAAATATTTTAAATCTTTAAATACTGAACGTTGATATATAAAAATTATTTCATATAGGTATATCATTTAAACAACTTACTCAGCAAATTCTTCCACTGGCTTCATACTATTCTACTACTATTCGCTTTGTGGAAGAAAAGGTTCTGCCAGATGATGGACAAGTCAATCATGCTTTAAGAGGAGCGTTAAGCTCTTTACTCAGAGATTATTTAGTCTGTTATTTTCATATAAATATTTCCTAATAATATTGCTAAGTTATAATATCAAAATTAACATGAAATATTTTTTATAGTTATTTATCGTACAATTAGAGATTGAACATATTCGTGGAAAATTAAATTTACAAAAATTGTGGTTTTACATTCAACCGACAATGGCAACAATGTCCATACTAAATCAAATTACGTCAACCATATGCAAGGTAAATTGTAATTCTATTTTCAATCGTTACAGTAATATTAATTATATTTAACATCTTTAACTAATATATATTAATTTTACAAATTTCATTTTCTTTTCTTTTTTGTTCTTCACTATACTTGAAAATATATTGTGTTTCTTTTTTTTTAATTTATAATCAAATATATAATTTTAATATGATTGATTGATTGAAAAGAAGAATTCAAACAATAAAATATTTATTAAAAAAAAAAAAAAAACAATCATCAACATAATTTAATGGTATATAATTTTAATAATGCAAACAGTATTTTAAAATCTTGTTGATTTTATACTGAGAACGTTAACATTTGGTACTTTGATACTTTGATAAGGTATAAGTATATTATATTATTTATCAAATTAGATTAATAAAAGTATATTATATTAATAATATGTAAATGGTAAAGTATATTAATAAAAAATACTCATTAAAAGAAATATAGTATGTTTCAAGAATGATAATCAATTTTTAATTTTTTTAATTTTAACAATTTTTAATGAACAATTCTTAATTTTGATGATTTTATTAAGGATTTTAAAGTTAATTATTTTTAAAATGCAAAAATTGAAACAGCGAAGAACCGCAATTATTTATATTTTACGATGTATGTATGATAATAATCAAGTTTTTAATTAATATTTAATAAAACTGCTTCTGCATTGCATTAAAAATATTTAACAATGTGAGATTAAGCATAAGATGTGCCTTTTTTGTTTTATGTATAATCTGCATTTAAATGGAAAAATGTATGAAAACTCAATTGAATAATAATAAAAGTGCTTTATACCACTTGCATTCATTGTATATGATTTTTATTTATAGGCAAACGCTAGAGGTGGTAAAGTTCTAAGTCTTCTTCATGAACAAATAAACCATATGAGTAGCGAAGCAAAATCCAAAGAATTATGTTTATTTTTAATTAAAGCTGCTAGTATTCCTTATATGGAGATATTGGAAAAATGGGTTTACAAAGGCGTAATATGTGATCCGTATCATGAAGTAAAATTAACAAATTCCTTTTTAATTCAATATTTTATTTGGCACACAATAATAAATATATTAAATAGTTTTTCGTAGAAGACAATGAATTAATTCAAAGAGAAGAATTGCCAATGGATTATTCAGCGGATTATTGGGAAAAGAGGTATACAATGAGAACAGAAAGAATCCCCGTCTTTCTTAACGAACATGCTCAAACTATACTTAGAACTGGAAAATATTTTAACGTTATTAGGCAATGCGGTTTGTTAAATAATTTTTTTGTTTATTTAAAAATGCTGAAAATTTACTTGACAAATAAATATTTTACCATATTAGGAAAAACTGTACAATGGGGAAAGCAAGAGCCATTGGTCTATCAACATAGAGATCAAAAATTCATTTTTGCTATAGATAGAGCTTATTCCGAGGCAGCTAGAACATTACTCGAAGTTTTAATACAAGAAAACGATCTTATGGGACGTTTACGCAGTGTTAAAAATTACTTCTTATTAGCACAAGGAGATTTTGTGGTAAAAATCATAATGGTTAAAATTTCCATTCGTTCTAAAAAATTTATATAGTAAGAATAATATACAGAGCTGTTCTATTCGCAGGTTCAATTTATGAATTTGTGCGAGGCCGAATTAAGTAAAAATATGTACGATATTGTTACTCACCGATTATTGTCACTTTTAGAAGTTGCATTAAGATTATCAACTGCAGACTCCGATTCCTATAAAGATGATTTGAAACCCGAATTATTACCTTATGATCTTCAATATCAAATGTTTAGAATTTTATCTATTCAGACGACAGAAGAGAAAGGTTTCGATAAAATATATAATAATAAAATTCGTTTATTAAATAATGTAGGAAAATCTTTATTTTATAGAATATTGTGCACACGCAGATAAGGTTTTAACTGGATTGGAAGCCTTTGTATTTAATTATGATGTAAAATGGCCTGTATCGTTAGTTATTAATAGAAAAGCAATTGCTTGTTACCAAATGTTATTTAGGCATTTATTTTATTGTAAGCACGTTGAAAGATTGCTATGCAGGTATATACGCAGGTTATAACCTTAAGATAGTAATTGAAAATTTTCATTCACCATTCGCTTAAACATTGCAGAGTATGGATTAGTAATAAAATTGCTAAAACATTCACTCACGAAGCAGCAATGGCTTATCGTCAAGCGTTTTCATTAAGGCAACGAATGCTCGATTGCATTCAACATCTTGAGTATTACATGATGGTTGAAGTAATAGAGCCAAATTGGCTAACATTTCTGAATAAAATGAGCAAGGTAATTTTAATTCTAAGAAATGTATATAACATGTAAGATAGAACGTTATTGGAGTTAAAAATTTTAATTTGAAAAAATACGCTCAAAGGCGCTTCTACTAAATTTATTGCCAACCAATTGTAAATCATATTTTCTTAATGTTCTATACTCCTACGGGCAGTAAAATATTCATCTTTTGAAAACCATTTCAAAGTTCGTGGTCGTTACAAACATTCATTTCCTTGAACATCTTTTTCGACTTATCGATACAATGTTATTTATTACATTATAATATTCTTAGGTCAGTAATGTCGACGATGTATTGAGTGTTCATCATGATTTGCAAGACAGTTATTTAAAAGAGTGTATGCTAACAGATCCTGAACTCCTAGCCTGCATAACTGGTCTCTGTGCAGTATGCATTGAATTTTGTGAATTTATGCAGGTAAGAATTCATTTTTTATAACGATAGTTAATTCAAAGTGAATGGACATTTAAATGCGCCAATAAATTTGCTATTATTCGGTTCTATATTAAAAAAAATATTAAAATAAAACGTTTCTCATCAATTTAATGTATATTGCTTACATTAAGCATATGAGCCGATACTTCATTGATGCCGAATTGACTTCCATGATTGGTACCTGTCAAGATGACATCCTTGAACCTGAGGTATTGTTTAAGGGCCAATCTACGTTTAATTTTTGTTTTTCACAGAGCTGCATCGCAGTTAATATATTTTTAGAAACATAGGATGCTTGCTTTTAAAACTCAATTTTTTTATTATTTATATTTTGCTATTATTAGGCTCATTTATTTCAGTATTTAATATTTTTATATTACTGGCATGCGTTATATGTTTTTTTTTTTTTTTTTTTTTCAGAGTAGCATTTATTGGTTTGCAATAGAACATTCATTATGTACATATTTAAATAGTAATTATCGAGTTATAATGTTCGTTACATATATGAAACACTATTTTCATTTTAATATGTTTTCCTATTTTATTAATTTTGTTTTTATACACAGCTTTATATTTGTAAATAGATGAAATTATGTTTATTTACAAATTAAAAATTAATTTTTATGGCAGTGATAAACATACTAGAAAATATTTTGTAGTAAAATTTCAATTTTTTCACATTTACTATTTGTTTGTCTAAAAGAAAAGAAAAGAAAAAAAACTAGTTTATTTCTTAGAAATATAGTCGTAATTAATTGGATGTATTTCATAGAAATCATTTGTTAAAAAAATTGCTTTTAATATAATTTCAAAATGTGGAGTAGAATTCAATATCAACTTATATTAGAAGAAAATTCCAGTGTTTAAAGGAAACTTCTAAATAAAGAGAAATTATGCTAATTTATAATGTACGCGCATTTTGCATTTCCTTTGTTTCATTTAATACTAATAATTATTTGAGAATTCTTATAGTTTTTGTTACTATTTTATGTAAAAGAAACTTATAAATAATTTTTATGCCAAATTTAAAATATAATTTTTTTTTTCTTTTTTTTTGCTTAGTCTGAATGCAGTGGTAATTCTAATATCGAAGGAAGTAGTTTTGAAGAAAGAATTGGTTTCTTGGATAATCAATTTACTGCAGTATTAATTCGGTTATTGAATAGAATTTGTGATTTAGGCTGCGATAACAGTAACGAAAAACTATTAAACGTAGTGTGTCGGTAAGTTAAATTTACATTGTTAAAAAAAAAATCACGATATACTTATATCATTCCTATATTCTACATATATAAATATATCTAAAAAAATGATATTTTTATTAGGTTGGACTTTAATCTCTTTTATACTCAAATTCTCGTAAAGAAAGATTCATCGAAAATTGTAAAAAATACGTCTGGATGATTACAAATTATCATTATAAAAATTATATTATATTATACATTTTATTATAAAGTTATATTTATTAGTGAGCCGTTTTAATTATTAAGTTCTATAAACGAAAATATAATCAAGAAACAGTTACATATTTGGAGATTTCTATAGTTTAACTTCACATTCTTAAGAAAATCTATTAATAATCTTGTAAGTCATTTTAATATCAAAAGAAATAAGGATCTAAACTATAATTTAGAAAAGAATCTTTTTAATGTATATTATAAAGTAATAAAGTATCCATTTTTTTTAAAAGATGTTTTTAATATAATATAACATACATTGTACAATAAACAATAAGAAAATATAAATATGTATGATACATATTTTTAGTTCTTTTAATAAATTTGAAATAAAATATTTGTCTAATTACATTTTATGTAATGTAATATATTAATACATAAATTTTGTGTGCGCGCGCGTGTGTGTGTATAAAATGTAAGTAAATACTACATTTGATATTTATTGCAATACATAATATCTGTATATTGTTATTAGAATTGTTAAAAATTTTAAATTGAATATAATTGTGTCATATAATAAACGATAGTGACAAAGCCGTCTAAAATACTATTATTATTCAAATAAATTGGTCCAGAATTTTTAATCAAAAGTTTCTTTTGAATAATACAATTTTATAAATTGCAGTCATTTTAATGTTAAAATTTCTTTTAAAACTATTTAAACTGATTAAATAATTAACATTCAACTCAACGTAGAAATTATTTTAATCGCTGTACTTTGTATTGCCGAAATATTTTAAGATTATCGTAATGTTTCTTACATTCTCATACGGAATCGCATAGAGAATAATTCTAACTTTCTTCAATCAACTTTTCTCCGAATCATCTACGGTATTACCGGTTAATGTATGTTGAATTTTTCGCACATTAGCCTCTAAGCCTTCAAAAGTCTTCCTAAGTGCATTAAGTTGTGCTAAAATTTTATCTTCGCTAGATTGTTTGTTTCGTTCCGTAAGAATGTCCTTAGCTCTTTGAGCGATTAGAGGATCCATTTTAAGCGCCGAACATCGATTTCGTCTCTTTTCTTGTCCATGTAATGTCATCTCAAAGCTCTTAAGTGGCTTAATGCTGAGTCTCGCATAAGGTAAGTAAGATGGAAATAGAAGTATCTTACGTGCCAAGAAATGCAGAGGAGACTTAACAACACGCCGTAGAAGCAAATAATTTATGCAGCAACAGGATTGCGTTCGAGGTAGAAAGGACGAACCTACAACTACTCTTTCTACGTAGGCAACCAGCTGAGCACGTGAAATCAAGCATACCAGTTCTGACTCTGCAAGTATCTCAGCTGTATCATTTACTGCTAAGCCATTGAGTAGATTCAGCAAGATGATTACAATAAGGAATATGAAACCGATAAAGATAAATCGACTAAGAATAGGATAGATAACAAATGGCAAATTGCTGGCATCGAATTCACCCGTTATCATTACGATTGTCTTGAATAAGGAGGCGAAAGGATTGGGAAAGCTCTCGTTCTCCTTGAATAGGACGAAGAAAGAGAAAGCGAAAGCGAGAATAAGGAAGATATATAAAAATAGGAATTTGGTGAAGTTGATTGTCACAGTCTTAAACATTTCAATGTCAATAGACATCCGCGGATGCTGAGCCATGAGAATAATAAGCTCCCAAGTGGATAAAAGTATGGCGACGGCACCAACCTCAGAACTCGCGCCACATAGTAGTGCGAACGTCAAGGCGATAAGGACGATTTCGAACCAATTCATCAGGCTACTGATATAATTCAGCGGTGAGGAAGCAAACTGCAACAATTCACGAATCAGCATATACATCAGGGACACGAATAATAAAATTGAGACGACTAGTTGATTCTTCCAATTTCTTAGGATGTCGGAGCTCTCGTGGCCATTCAGCACTGTTGCATTGATATTGGTTGATGATACTGAATGAAACAACGAGTACATATTAATAATATCATCTGATAGATTACTGAAAAGATTGCTGAAGAATTATTTATATAAAAGTTTGAAATATCGAATATTTCAAATAAGCAATAATGTTATTTTATTTAAAAATTAAAAATAAATATGAATGAGAAATTTTTATTGTCACCATAACTTTAACACAAACTTTAAATATATAAAACCATTGCAATGTGTATTAAAATTAAATGAATAAATTGTAAAATATAATTTAAAATTCATTGATTCTCTTTTTATGTGTGTGCGTGTGTGTGTGTGTGTGTGTGCGCGCGTGTGTGTATATTTAAGAAAAAAATATGAAAATAATAATTTTAATTTTTTCAAAGCATTTATTTAATGACGATAAATAAAAAATCAATATTTATTCACGATTAAAAAAGATTAAAGATTTAAAATTTCAACGAAAAATGCGATGAATGTAATTTAATTGTCAAATTCTAATTTAAATTGTAATGTTAATTAACAATAATATAAAATAATGGCTCATTAATTTTCATGAAATAAGGATATAGCCGAGCTTACCTTCGGTCTGCACTGGAGCGCTGCTTATGAGCCATATGTAAAGATTTAGATTAATGAAAAAAATTACATATAGGAAGAAGTTTAAATATAATATGTGTCTTATATTCAGGTACTTGAGATATAAAAAAGATGCAAGTAATGGATGCTTTAAGAGGTGTCTAAGATTTTTTTGACTAGCGATATAGAGGAGAGTTTCAGTCTCGCTACGAGATTTCGTATATCCATTGGAAGAGCCGAATGGGCGTGTGTATTCCTCATTTTCGTTGTCACCGACTTCTCGAAAGCTCTGGGGTGCTAAATTCTTATAATTCATAATAATTTCATATTCCTCGGTGCCCTCGTTACAACTCGTTAGGCAATCATCCAGATGGTTCTTAAGGGCATCCGAGGTAATGTGAACGAGCGGAGGGATGTTAAAATTATTCATATGGCCGATGTAGCTGCCCTTTTGGAGTAATAACTCTAAGGCCTCTTGACACTCGGCCCTAGCCGCATAGTGCAAGGGACTGTTGCCTTTATCTGTAATTAAATGCACGCTATTTAATAATTTATCTCGATATTTTGCTTTTATCTCTATTTTATTTTAAAGCCTAATACTATTTCTTTAAAATAAAACGTTAATATTAAATTTGCTTTTTCTCACTAGTTTAGATGATTAATCAAAAAGATTTCGGAATACGTTGACAATATTTTACAAAATTTTGTATATCGAAATAAAATTTTCAATTCAATCATTGACTATAAAGAATCAATAGTGACGAGACAGACGATATTTATCTGAGAATCGAAGAATTTAATTTATAAAAAATTATATCAACAATCAATAATTAATCAATAATTTTATTCAATAATTTCACATGATTTTATGTTATTTATGCACATATCTACAAATGTACAGTATTTAGAAAATATCTTTTCATAAACATTTAACAGTAATGTTGATAATACATTGCAATATATTTTGTTCATTTTACTACTCTTATACAAAGCAATGATATTCATTTCATTGAATTAATTTTATTTAATAATTACAATTATACCATTAAAATTATAATTGTAATTATATAAAAAAAAGAATATATAAATAAATACCGTTACTATGAAATTAGTATTTATCGAAATAAACAATTATAAAGAAGACATTTTTTCCAATTTCATCCACACACACACACACACACACACACACACATGTGTGTGTGTGTGTGTGTGTGTGCTCTTGAGCACTATTGAATGTTTTAAATCTACATTATAAATAATTTAAGTTACTTTATATTTTCAATGTAAATTCAGTAATGATTTGATCTTTATTTTTAGTATTTACTTATTACTGATTTTTGCTTAGCAATGAATCTAAATTATATATGGACAAAAACTTTCACTTTGAACATTAATAAAAGTGTCTTTTCTTAAAAATTCAAAAAGCTTTTAAAAAAAATATATAAATAATAATAGTAATATGTATGTTAAATATTTTCTTATATATATTCTCTTGGATTATTTATAAAATTGATGTATTAATGGATTCTCACCATCTTCCTGGCGTACATCAACTCCATCCTGATTTAAAATCATTTTCAGACACTTTAATCTATTATTCGTGTTAGCCGTGCCAGGTCTAGTAGAAATACCTAATTCTTGGCTGGCTGGCAAAAGAAGTCGATTTGCTAATTTAGCATTTATAGTCAATAGCTCGTGTAAAATATCCGGATAGGCTTGCTCTATTGCAATTTTTCCCAATTCGTAGAGATTTTCCGTGTCTGGTATATTGTTATGAAGAAGTTCTTTCGCAGCATCACGCAAATTATGTTCAATAGCGATTTTAAGAAGTTCGATTTTATTGTTTACAACAATATCTTCCATTTTTTCAAGTGCTTTTAAAAAATTCACCTCGTCATTGGCTGTGAGATAGTAACGCAATAACCTCTCATAATCTAACCGATCCAACGTCTCTGGCAGAGCGATGTCTGGATATTTCCGTTGAATTATCATTCGCGTTGTTTCTTTCTTGCGATCTCTATTCGGAATGTTTTAATGTTCGTAATTTATTTCTTGAGCTCATTTTATTCTTCCAATAGCGTATAAATTTATCAAATTTATCGCTATAATATAGAATAACATAAGCATCTTGCAAGCATAATCGTCCATTTTACAAAATTTGTATTTTTCCATTTACTTCCTTGAAAATTCTCGAATTTTATTTATTTAATTTATATTTGAAAAAACTTAAGATAAAGAAAACCGATAAAGTGAGAAATGGCTAAAACTTCGTTTAATATGACGATTAATTATAAGATTACAGTGATTTATAGTATTTATTTGTATTCTGATCGTTAATGCTTAACCGTTAAAAGAATTTTATGATTAATGTCGTTGAGAAGTAAACGAAGTCGTTTAACGCCGATATTCTACTTTTATGATTGATTTCCTTTCAATCACGTTGATTTTTTTTATAAATGCAAATCATGTTTTTTAAAAAAAATAATGAAAAAATATGTGAAACAACAGTATTGCTACTATTTTTAGACTTGAACATTTACATAACGAATAAAGTGTACAGGAAAAATTAAATTAACTTAAAAGTTTAATTGCAACTTTAATTGCAACTTTAATTGCATAATAAATCAATGAAAAAAAAAAAAAGACAGTTTTAACCAATGGGATTTATATTTTGCTCGTGTGTGTAAGTGAATACCTGTAAGTATCCAATTCCAGAATCTGGCTCTTATCAACGATTAGCTGCACCATGTTGCGTTTGTTCTTCTCTGCGGCAAAGTGCAGCGCGGTTAGGCCTTGACTGTTGGTGACATTAGGACTTGCTCCTGCTTCCAAAAGGAGTCTCGCGCACTCTTCGGAATTGGCTTTGACGGCAAAATGCAGAGCCGTTAGTCCACCGGCCTTGATATTCAGGCTTATATTTCGGTGTTGGAGTAAAGCGCCGAGGGCCGCTACATTGCCAGCTTCGGTGGCAAAGTGAATTGGCGCGCGATTACGCTCCGAGTTGACGATGTTTGGATCGGCGCCCATTTCTAATAGAAAGTCCACGAATTCGGGTAAATTATCGCTCGCTGCCTTATCAAGGAAGTTCATGAGAATGGGATATGGCAATCGATAGTTTAGGTCGATGCTGGCTGGATTCTCATATAGATTGCGACGCACCAGGCTCTTAAAGGCGGCTAGATGTCGCCTTTCTAGTAAACTTAGCAGCAGCGCGTATTCTTTCGGAACCTGATTCTGTATTAGGTGCATCTTGGACTCCGTGTCATCCGAATCCATTATCATTCACTGCAACGTAAAACTTTATGGCAATTCATTTGAAATAATAAGCAATAGAAATTTTATGATTGTTCCGTACTCTTATATAATAATTAATATTTTAAACTTTATGTGTATCTGTACGCACTTTCATCAATAAAATAACGTTCTCTCTCCCTCTCTCTCTCTCTCTCTCTCTCTCTCTCTCTCTCTCCGTGTGCGCCCGCGCGAGCGTGTATGTACAATTTCTCCTCTTATTTTAATGTGTATCGTACTCTTTTCTTTATACAACTACAATAACAATCTACCACTAGTTATTACAAAATAAATAAAATATACATGTATCGGACAATTTAAGACACGCGATGTGAGCTAACTCAAAAAATCCAATCGAAACTATCGCACAGTATAAACAAATTTGCAAATTGTCCTCGGCAACACATAATCGATTCAATCCGATTTCATAGTTATAGTTGGTACAGTGTTATATTACAGAAATATCTTTAATAGCGATGGATATTGAAAAATTACTCATCTATATTTTACTCGACTCGACTAGTACCGAATTCTTTATCATTCGTATCTAAGACAAAACCACTTATGTTAATACTACGTCGCTTACCATATTACCAGTACTCATTACCATAAGCTTGAGGCTCTATACCAAAAAAATTCCCGTACTTTTAGTTTCTTTTTTAGTTATCTTCATATTTATCCCTTTATATAATATAATATCTATATATATATATATATATATATATATATATATTAATAAATTAACCTGAATTATACAATTAAATGTACTATAATATTATTCAATTACTTTTTGACCAATCATAAATACTTATACTCATTCTTTTATTTATATATCATGGCCGTATCACCGAATATTTGTGTCTCAATCTTTTCGATACTTCATTTTATTTTTATAATGTACGTTCGATTCAGGGTAGCGCACATAGGTATCGTATCTGCATATATACACAGCGACTACTTGCTCACCTCGACATGAGTTAATGTTATGCCTCTGGATTGTTTAGTACCTTTCATAGTGCTTTTTTTTTAAATTTTAATTAATGGTAAAAGTGATATCTTAAGTACCAGTGGAAATAATATTTAGGACAACCGTTGTGTCTTCGATAGATCAACTGTGCAGAACTTGCGAAAATGCAGAACCGCTGAACAATTACGAAACACCCATAATCTTGCATGACATCACCAATCACGTTTCAATGAGCAAACAAAATTTTTTTATGTTATTTGTAAAATCATTGGAGCTGTGATCCATAGGCATAGCTTGTTTTTCCATATCTATTCCATATGTAAATAAATTCTTTTTAATTTACGTTATCAATCAATTTTACTATATTTGCGGTATAACGTACGTTTTCTTCTCGCATCTTGTTTTATTCAAATATATATGCATGCGCGCGCGCGCGCGTGTGTGTGTGTGTGTCTGTAAACGTTCTATCTTCTTTCTTTTAGTTTATAATGTTATGTTTATAATGTTATTGTTATTATTATTGTTTATTATATGTTATACCATCATTATTGAATAGTGCATACACGATGTAATGCCATTACATAAAGTTTATTCCATATAAAATATTACTTTCTTGATATTTATTTCTAAAATAGACATACTGCTCATGATGACCTTATCTACTTCACTTTCTCCCGCGAACGACACAGCTTAGTATAGTTGAATTACTCGCACTTCTTTACATAAATTGTGAGAATTTCGAAAATGTTTTTTATGAAAAGTAGCGCTACATTGTACATGAATTCATGCATGTGCTTTTTATAATTAATTCCTCTTAAAAAAATAATTACTATAATGAATATAGACGCATAAACGTATAAACTAAAATACAAATATGATATAAAAAGGAAAGCTGCACATTGTATCGATTTATTTTGTCATTTTTATTGGAAGCCCGTGTGACTTTAGCGAAGATATAATAGAGAATTTATGAGTTTACTATTAAAGAAGATCCTCACAACTGTTTGCACTATTAGATCTATTGATAAGATAGAGTAGTCAATAGAATGAAGAACAAGGCCCGTTCCCACTAAATAAACAAAGGTGCAAGAGTATTTCTTTAGGTAGTTCCATGACATGTCTTTCTTCAAACACTACGCCCATTCTTACGTAGAGCTCTTTATCCCGAAGGATTAAATAATAACGCTTAAAGGCTTAGAACTGTAAGGTCTTATACGGTTTATCCAATGGACTTCCCATGTCCTACCAAGGTAGTCGGTTTGCGTACCCTACCACACTTTCCTTGTGGGACAATTCCATTAAAGTTCGGCATTTTACTTTGGAAATGATCGAGAATTTTACTGGAAGTATCAGTTTAATTGTTTTTCTTCTAAGCAGTGGATGATTTAAAGGGATGTTATCTCTCTCTCTCTCTCTCTCTCTGTCATTCTTTCTTTCTTTCTTTCTTTACCATAACCGAATCCAGCGACTCATCCTCCTCCATACTTTATACGTTTCATTAGCATCACAGTCCTTAGCGTTCATCCAAGTGATAAATTTTTTTTCACATATTCTTTAACTGCCTTTCAATTCTAATGACCATAATGTTTATATCAAGCGTATCGGTAATCCTGATTGCGTTGATTCACGTTTATTAAGATGCACAGCCCTTTGCCTTTAATAATTTCAAAATTATTTAAATGTAAATTAAAACAACATTCATCATTTAATAACATTTTGACTAAAAATGTCATTTAACTTAGAATAAAACGAATAATACACTTGAATTATCATCGTAGTTTCATTATATATTTTTTTCATATGTATATTTTTAATTATTGAATCGAACAAACTTCTAAGAAGTATGGCACCATCAAATCTATTCTTATATTCTTTTCTTCTCATAGTGTTATTATCCTGACATAATTCCGAAATATCGATTTCAATATCACCACCTTGAGGTATGTAATGTTTTAATAAGAAACGTATTAATAATTTAATTTTTTAATTTTTTCAAGCCTTTTGGGGCATAAATTGAGCTCCTTAATTCTTGTCGTCAAAGAGTTCGATTATCACAAATACTCGACTATTTATCTAATCTATTAATCTACCAAAGTTGGCAATTCTTCTATCAATCATCTCTTATTGCTCATAATAATATATTTATTTCATAGCTTCATATCATATAATGAGCGTCGTTCAGTTTTACACAATTTAATCGAAGCTGTCATTATTATTTTATTGTATGTTGTTATTGTTTTAGCATTAAATGTTGGACCTATAACATATTTAATTATAATAATTAATTAACGTATGTATTTATCTAATAGTGTAAAAATTATATTCGAGATATAAATGTAACTCGATAATGTATACATAAATTAATATATTATTACTAACCTAACTATTAATTTGTAATGTAAAAACAAATATCCTATCTTTGCATAATATCATAATTTCAATCTTTTTTTTCTCTCATTTTTTTTTTCTTTTTTTGTTTTGAGAGAAAATAAGAATTTTCTCTCTCTACATTTTTTTTTGCTATGTTATATTTTTTAATTGATTAATTTGAACGAGTATTAGAATTAATGATGATGAAAAAGTTTGGTGAGTGGGTGTCGCTATAAGCATTCTCGACCGAGTCGCTCCTTTTTTTTTCCTTGATTTTGCGCTGACAATAAGGATGACGTCATATAGCAAAAAGGTCCCAGAAACGTATGTGATGTTCGAGCATTCATTTTTCGTTTGTGTTTAAGTATATTTTGAATAAAGATTTCTGATGAAATGAAGAACGTAAAAGTGTTTCAAGACATTGCCTTAATTTCAAATTATATTTGATTTTGAATAAATTAAAATAAAAAAATAATAATTACAAATAAAAGTCACAAAAACTTCGTATAAATGTTTTCATAAGATTAACCTTGAAAATTTTATGCTTTTTAAATATAACGATTGATCGTCTAATTTTGAATAAAAATGAAAAATTCGTTATTGAAAATATTTTCAGATCACATTGAAATAACGAAATTAATTTTTTTCAGTAAAAGACAAAAATCTTGATTGAATTGATTTACTCGACATTTTATTACATTTAATTTAATTGATAAATTTATAAAGGATATTCTAAAATATTGCCTTAAATATAAAGATAAAAAATGATTATTTATATATATATATATATATATATATATATATAAAGTGAAGCACACATGCATTATGGTAAAGTAAACATAAAATAGAAATTGCAATACAGTGTGTATTAAGTAAGCAAATAAATCAAAGCGGTTGTTATAAATAAGAGACAGATGCACTAATTGAATGGTTTTGTTGTTATTGTTGTTGTTGTTGTTATTTCTCTTACCTAGAAGCAATGTTTAGTGGTATTACCAATCTTCAAGCGTCAACTAATTATCCCGGCGTTTGGAATTGTCGAGGAGTTAAAGTATTTTCTGTATAATTCTGACGTGCCGAAAAGACTGAGTAAGCGATACTCATCGTTGCCAAGGCAAGTGTTAACCGCTGACCACATCTCGTCCCCCATATGGTAGCCTGTTGAAGCGAATGGTAGGAGAGATAAAATTAAAGAGAGAGATAGAGAGAGAGAGAGAGAGAGAGAGAGAGAGAGAGAGAGAGATTGAAGAAGTATATGTACACTTTGCACGTATTGTACAGTGGAAATGAGATAATACGTGCATAATTTATTGACGAGTTAATTAATAACATTGTGTAACAACTCTGTTACTTCATAAGGAATTACAAAGAAATTATAAACATCGTTTCCTTCTTTACTAATATACAATATTTTCCTACAAATTAACACATGTTCTGTAAATAATCAGTGTTAGTTAAATAAAATATGATTTTATTCATTCATACCATTAGACGCAATACTATTTTAATAAGTCGTTGGTTAATAAAATATTGAAATATAAAGTAGGATTGGAAATGTTATCAAATATTTTCTATGAATTCGATTGATTTCATGAGAGCGTTAAGTTTATTATTCCTTAAAATTTTTCATACATAACATTATTTTTATTCATTTTGTACGATCGCATGTATGTCTGAACAATATATTTATAATTAGAATCTTTATTTCCATAAGGATTAAATAATATATTTACCAATATTTATTGTAATAATTTGAATATTAATATAAATAGCCGTTACCTTAACTATAATTGTTTACAATATAAATTATAATTGTGTATATTGTAATATATACATTATATTGATTAGCTACCATCAAAATTTTGATAATTCTATCAAATAATAAAATTAAGTTCTACTTTGCGATAAGCTAATAAAATCTTTACATTTAACCTCGATTCATCACGAAACCTGGACATAAGCAAAAGTGTAGTAAAAATAAATTTCAATTATTATAAAATTGACTGTGACGTAATACTGAAAATGCTACTTATCTTTATCATTATTTGACAAACACTTTGCACGAAAAATTAGAGAAAATATATAGTTAAATAATTTTTTGTTTCTTTTATCAAGTGTCACCTACGATTATTCTTCAATTCCAATTCCCTTCATAATATAAGGTACATAGAACAATCTTACGCCACTACTTACCGCCAAAAATTTGCAATATATCAAGACTTTAATAAATAAACCAAATATAAGATTAGACAAAAAAATTTTAAATGGGAAACGCATTGGTATAAAATTTTATAATAAACTGTGAATGATTCCATAAGCTTGTACAATATTTTTTTTAATTTATACTTATATAATTTATAATACAATGGTTCCTTAACTCGCAATCCCACATTCGAGCATAATAATTAAACTAATCAAAATAGAACTTCTATTAACAAGTTTATAATTGAGAATAACAATTTTAACTACTAGCGTTTACAATAAAAGACTTTCGATAAAGCATGTCAATTTTTAAGAAGCAAATCTACTTAATTCTTATACGTGTTTCTATTTTACTATTTTTTTTGTATATGTGTCTTTTTTCGCAAAAATTTCGATCATAAGACTCGCTTCGTTAAAGACCATACGAACTCACTGTGGCCTCGACACTTTGTATCAAGTGCATTGATATGGTTTAGTGTCCTAATGGAGCAGATACTTCCGCCCGAAGGACGACGTACAACGATGAAACGAGATGCTCTAGAGAATTAGCGATTTTCTTCGAACGCAAAGGAATGTAAATGATGAAGTCGCTTTGAATTCGCACTGATGAATGGGAGGAATGCGAAGAATCATTAGACTCTATTACTTCGTCTCTCTCTCTCTCTCTCTCTCTCTCTCTCTCTCTCTCTCTCTCTCTCTCTATTTGCTTTACATTCCCAACTATGAGGCTTAAAAATGTGATGAGCGCGCCTGCGTCGATGAGCCGTCGCAGCGAAAAGTGAATCCTCCGATCTGCGCACGTATGAGTGGTTACGGTGGAACTATCCTGGTCTAGTCTAGACAGTAGAGGTCTCCGATCGCGTAAAGCAACTAAGCGTCAGTTAACTAGTGATATCGCGTGCTGTCGGTATATCTACACAAGTAAATGATCTTGGATATTTGAATGCGAACGGCGGAAGGTGAAGTTGCATTCCCTTACTATCGATTAAACTCCCTACAATTCATTGTTTTCAGTGCCATGTGAAGGCATTTAAATTTTGACGCAAAACCAGAGTTTTTAAATGTATCATAAGAACTGAACGTCCTCGCTTTCCTTTAAAGTTAAAGTATTTACAATAGTAAGTCACATTTATTCCTCTATTCCATCGGCTTTTTAAACGCATTGTTTGCAACTATTTAATGTCCGTATATAATTAAATATATTATTTCAATAAAAAATCATAAGTACTAGATATATATATATATATATATATATATATATATATACGAAGCTTTAAATATTTTTTTAATAACTATACAATTATAGCGTAATGAATTTGTTGATGAGCATAATAATTTTGTTAATATTTTTTACAAAACGTTCAAGACGTAATTATTATTATTTGTAGTCAAAGTAATAAGTCACTGTCCATTTGCAAATACATTATTATTAATGATAAAAATAGAGTTATTAGTAGTTACCAATAGTTTAATTATGCAAATTTTAATGTAACTCTAATGATTATATAGGCGATAAATTATAAATAAATCACCCGAATAAAAGTATTTTTCAGGCATGCTAGATTTCTAACAAGTATTTCGTTGAAAAGCAATAGTTAAACATCTATTCATAAATTAATTTTCGGCAATTCGTATACAGTCGAATATTACATAGGATGATATAACGAAAAAATTAAAAATATAACTTTTCATTAATTTCTGTTAAACATGATTTTTATATTAAAAATATTATCGACATTTATTTTATATATATATATATATATATATATATTCATATCAATATAATATAAATGATATTTAGTCATTACATTAATATACTAATATCAATATATTGTGAAAAATGAAATCTCTCATTAGCTTTGTCATTGTATTGAACGATCACGAATAAATCACAATTTAATTTTCCATTTTTAAAACATTAACAATATGAATATTTAATTTTTATTTTATCTATAAAATATGTGCAAATAATGTATATTATATTTGACAAAGATGAATTTTTTAAGAATTTGTAAAAAATGTCCTGTATCATATTACCTTTTCATATCAATTATACTTAACGTCTATGACTGTACGTATTCTAATAAATCACTTTATAGCAATGAACACGCGCGCACCCACCCACACACACACACGCGCGCACACGCGCACGCACGCATACATGAATTCTTGTAAATTAAAGAAATATTTCTAGAAACTATTCTATATTTATTTGAGTGAACATGTAGTTAGAAAAAAAATTAATTATAATATAAGTGTAACATTAATTGTTATAGCAAAATTATTTAACTGTTTAATTATAAAATTCAATGCATTGTTTTCTAAATCTTGTTTTTACAGAAGGAATATTCTATAAGTTTTATATTATCTTATAAAAATACATTATATTATCTTCTTTCCTATTTTTATAAAAGTAATGGAATAAGCATTTCAATAACGCAATATTACACGTTAATATAAATAAAAATTTACATTTATTATTATAATTTATATCTATTTTTTCTGATTAGAAAAGTTATTATTTTTTCGGAATAAAATGTTAAAATATCAGACGTTTTTATATAAATTAATACAGTTCAAATTTTATTGTAATGTTCAATTTTTTTTTTTTTTTTTTTTTTTTTTTTAAATCACGTTATAATCAAATATAATAATAATCAATTATTTGGATAAAAAAAAATAATACCCGTATATGGATCGTAAGTATATATTATAAGAAACAAATCGTTATACTTATTTATGACATTTATAGTTATATTTCATTTTATCTTTATTTTAGTTTAATATACTTACAATTCATTTACTTTATTCATTTACCATATTCAATTAAATTAACAAATATTTTTTTAACGTTATATAAATGTTAAAGATTAGAAGAAAAAAATTATGATTCATTATTTTATTAAAAAATGTATTAATCGATACTTTAATTCTGTTAATTAATAGCATAATTAAATTGTTTTCAATAATGAAAGAAGAAATTAAAAATCTCATAGACTTTGTTTGTTTTAAAATAACTAAACCATAATTTATACTTAAGCAATGCTTCAAGTAACATTGATGAATTATAAAAGTTGAAATTTTTTGCTTCAAATTCACACTAAAGTTTGAAAAATTTGCGTAAAATAATCTTGAAGGTAATAACTAATCATGTATCTTGAAACATTGTTTTATATATATATATATAAATATATTTTAATAAAAATATACTTAGGGCATCTATGTATTAAATGTACATAATATAACACATGAAAGTAACGTGCAAATATAATACGATATAAATGAATATGCCTTGATGCGAAAATCAAATTTTTTTTTCATCAAAAGATGATGTAGATCTATGTACCTTAATGTCTATTCTTTAGACGACCAACCTAATGAATTGGATGAAAATGTATTTGCTTACAAAGCTTCCAAGCATGTGCTTGCAAAAATATTAAATATCGAATACACGACTAATGCCAATATCGAGAAATAATGATAAATAAGGGAGTGACAAAGCAAGTAAGGGTAGCTAGAACTATATTATCCAATATGCATCATTCCGCCCTTGAAAATCTTTAATTGAGCGAACAGTTGAAATATAAAAAGGCAAAGGAGGGGTAAACTAAACCTAGTTTAATCAAATCGTGACAGATGTGCGCCTTATAAGATGTGACATGTCTTTGGCTGGCCTTGGCGATCGCCCACCGCGTACCAAATATGCTGAATCGAAATGAATTTCCTTTAATGTCGAATGCGGTTTTACATTGTCCCTCTCATTCTGATAGTGAATCATTTGTTTTATACCCATACCTCACCTCATATTTAATTACTGCGTAACATAGCTTTATCGTTTCACGTTGAAGTGATGAACTTTAATAAAAAAGATTATAATTGGTTAATGTTATAAAAACTGTTCCCTTAAATTAAATTCGTCTTATTCGTCGTTTTTCATTATGCTTAAGTCTAAATAATAATTCCTTCGGCAGCTTAACCGAATAGATTACAACCAATGTTAAATGTTCAACGCAACACTTAAAAAACTCATTATTATTAAAACTTTATTATCCTTTATACATAATGATTATTATGAATTATTTTGCTTTATTGATTGCGTACTCGTCGCGTCCGTTGTATTTATTTAATAAACTAAACAGCGTTCAATTAATGTTGGTAGAATAGCTCGAATAATCCGTATCGGCGAGCTATTACAATAATAACAAAGGCATTCAACGCTATACAAGATGAAAATAACAAAATTAAATTAATTATTTAATTATTTCCTGATTTCTTAATAAGGAATTAAATTAGCCAAGTAATTATTAAATAAGCAATTCGATTCTCTTTTGCATATTATGAAATATGCAAGAGGATTATGGTAAACTGCAGTTCAAAGCAAAGTACATTATAAAATGAAAATTGCTTGAGCAAACAATTGCCGATAAATTTGCCTCTTGTCAATTTCTGTACGAATTATTGCCAACTAAGTTCCCGTACAAATACTTTGAGATACCGAATTCAATACCGACTTGGACTTTCGCTATAGTACATACACATCAACGAATAATATCCGACCCTGATTATCAGCCCACGCGAATGCTTCGACTCTATATTTTCTGAAAGGAAGGAGACATTATTGGTTTGAAATAACGTTTGACGCAGGAGAATAACAGAAGATAAAAAGAAGACATTATTATTGAGATAAAAGCTGATCATGGAGGGACTGACGACACAGAGACTTTGGATTCCAACGAAAAGAAGAGGACCGATTGCCGCGGAGTTTGTCACCCCTGGGCCTGCTTGCGTCACTTTACCGCCCCTCATTGGTACCTTACCTCATTCAACCTGATAAATAATTAAGAGACCTATTATGCTACATAAAACTTTTCGTTAATTAACTTTTTCATCACTGTGCTTTGAATGCTTGTAGGAAAAACCATGACAGATTCAAAAAAGGAAAGAGCTCCAGCTTTCACGTTTGGTGGCAGGTAAAAAAAGACTTAATTCTGTTTAGCTACAATTTACAAATGTTTGCTTCGGACCTTATAATTTATGATGATACTTTTAATATAATAATCTTCACATATTTACTGCACGAATGTAACGGGAAAATCATTACGATAGATATATTTGTCATTAATGATGATTATTATTATTCTAGATTTTAATTGATTACAATATTAAAGCTCAAAATCAACGAATATTTAGTATAAATTGAATTTGAAATATAATACAATCTAATGCTTAGTAGCCCATAAGAAAATTAATATATATCATTGATTATAAATATGTTTTATGTTTCTTTTTAACTGCCCATCTTCTTAGTTATGAAAATATTATATATCAAAAAGGCTCTCTCATATAATTTCGAATCATTTATTAATTATTTTTACACAAAACAAAATTGATACATTGGAATAATTAAATTAGGAGTGTAAATTAATATCGATAATTTCAATCCAATGAATTTCTAGGCATTTGAACAAAAATAATAGTCCCGGTCCAGGCCCAGGGCAATATAATATTTTTGGACTCAACTCAAAGGGTAATAAACAATTTTATATACATTTAATATTAGTTAAAAAAAAGAAATTTACTTACTTTGACTGTATTAAAACTAATGGAGTTTAAATTTTATTAAAAGTCGCGTGGATGCGATATAAAATTTGCATAATTTATTATTGCATGTAATATTTATATTTATAATAATTACATATTGCGAAGAAGAAGAAAATAGAGTAAACAAATTTGTTATTTATTGCTAAGAAAATAGCTGATATAATAAAATATAAAAGTCAAAATATTATTAGTTCATTATAAAATCTTTTACAACTTGAATATTTCGATTTTACGTAAATTTATGTAGTAAAATATAGAAAAGAAAATCATGTAAATATCAAAATTAAAATAGAAATCGAAATAGAACGGTTCGAGCAAAACGACTGACTCTACTTATCGATCAAACGTACCGTCTGCAAAGGAATGAGGAATTACCAATATTTAAGCATTCGAAAAAATTCTTTTACTATTGTTTATTAAAAATATGTTTTAAAATATTTCTACTCATAAATACTACAATTTTACAACTATTTACTTGTCATCGAGTCATTGTTTCATTATATTCCCTTACTACAATTCTTTCATAAATCGCATCCATTATTAAACATTAATTTAATATAGGAATGACGAGTAATATTAGTATATAAGTAATTTTTTTTTTTTTTTTCATTTTAAGGAAAAGATGTGGCACCAGCTTTATCATTACACGGGCGTACAAAATCTGGAAAAATTCAAACTACTCCAGCGCCGGGCGATTACGATCCACAAAAAGCTGAAAAAATTGTCTCCGACAATTCTCCGAAATTCTCTTTTGGTATTAAAACAAAAGTAGAAAAAGTGAATCACACTCCTGGTAAGAAATTAGATTCAGCATACTATTGAAATTCTTATACCGGCAAAACATTAATTAGTGCAAATTATCATCTAAAACGTTGAAAAGATTCTTAAAAAAATATTATTTTATTTTAATAGACGTAAAAGCAGAATCAATATTCCCACTTTTCTAATTACCTTTATATAGTATAGTTTAAATTATCTATCTTACATAAAAAATATAAAATAAAAATAACAAAACTTCAATTACATCTGGAATTTACTTTCTAAATGAATCTCTAAGAAATAAGATGTCTGAAGATTGTGTAATAAGTTTAAAAATAATATAAATATGTTACTGTAATTTTATCAATTTTTTACGAATGAATAACAAAGGTTGAAGTATTTTAACACTACCAATCAAGATTAAACAGCAACATAACTTATAGTACTCCGTCTAAATATTTAGTTTTATAAATTCAACGTGTAAAATCAAGCCAAGAAAATCTCTTTATCGTTACATATAAGTCAAAAAAGGTGATATTTGGTTATATAAGTATTAAGCAGTTTCCATCATATATGGTAATAAATATAATTTTGATGAAAATTTCCGATTCTTTGACGTATTTATGCGATTTGTGCATCATAAAATTATTATGCAATTTTTGCCTTGCAACTACATGAATAATATGTCATATTAATAAACAAACAAAGCAAGTACATATTACGGTAACTTATCATGTTTATTTGCTATTAATCCGTCTCTGATGGATGGGAGCATCGAAGAAAATAAGTCTAAAATATAATTAAGTTTTTTCGCACCTCAACCATTACATATAACATTATTTTTTTTATTAAAATACAATGAATTCTATCATATTGCTAAAAATTTTTACAATATTTATTCGTGTTATTCATTCGTGTTTACTAAATTATTATATGTAGATAATAACGGTGTTTTTAATTAATTTATATTCCTTGTTTTTTATAAAGTTTATAATCTTCTTGAGAACTAGTTTCTGCGTTGTATAGCACAGAAAATATTTTCCTTAATAATACATTACTATTTAGTTTTGCATATTGTAAACCCTTTATAAAATCCAAAGTTACAGTAGAGACTTTCTAAATAAATGCACGCGCGCGCGCACACACACATATTAAATATTAAATATTAAATTAAATATTAACTATTACATATTAAAATTAAAACAATAAACTAACAGTCTTATGTTGAAATACAGCAGTTAAAATCTATTACCCTAAGACATGATTACTATAACATTAAACTATAGCATTTAAATCGAGAAACGTGTTCGTTAAAAATTTTGTACTTAAATAAATTCAATTATTCAATAATTTAGCTTCGAACATCAACAGAAACAGAACCTGAAGCAGCATTCGGTTTACATCTACTTTATATACATCGATAAAATCTATATGTTTTAGTGTTCAAATGATCTATCAGTTTAAATACTTAATTATTTAAAAAAAAAAAAAAAAAATACTACACGCTTCGTTCTCATAAGTGCGATTAAAGTAAATACAAAAGAAATAGAAAAAATAAAAGAATCGGGCATTAATCATTTTCAACATAAACCCATGGGTGCATACAGGACGCGTGAGGGGCGGGGCAAAGAATAATACAACTGGTCAGACATTCCAAAAATGATTCAACTTTAGTATCATTTTCTGCATTTCTACGATATTATTGGCACCTCCCATAAATCAATAACATTTATGTTTGGTGTAGAGATCATTCGTCTAGTAGATCGACCTTTTCTTTTTTTTTTTTTTTTTTGCACTTATAATATATATTTTCGAACCTAGCTGCTCAAATTCACACGTATACATGCATCTTACTGAGTGTTTTTACTTTTTAATCATTTATATTTGGTTTTTTTTTTTTTTTTTTTTTTTTTAAGTAAAATAAAACGAAAAACCAATCCTTTGAAATATCATTAACAAAATGTTAAATCCTTCAAATTTCGTTATTTAAGAATTCTTCCTTCAATTATTGTTAATTTTATAACTACGTTGTGCGTGGGTGCGCGTGTGCGCGTGTGCGCGTATATTAACATTTAAACTCGATTAATTTAATCTTGACCAATTAAAAAGAAGAAAACATTTTTAAAAGAAATAAAAAATGAAACTTTTATTAATATATATATGTGTATAAATATATTTATATAGATTATGTGATTTACTTACATTTATCTTCGGAAATATACTATCTTAAAAAAGTAAAATTTAAGAAAATCCCAAATTACAATGTAATACTAAAGGTAACCATGCAAAGTAAGATAGTGAAATTAATAAAATATAAAAATTGTATATTGATAAAATATATGTTATTTCTTAGTACTTATATCTTAATATAATAAGTGTGTTAAAAAAAATAATATTAGTATTTTAAATATTGTATTAGATTAATCTGAATGTTTTCATAACAAAATTCATAATGTAATTATGAATGTGAAAAATATTATTAACGTAAATTAAATCATTTATTCAAATAAAGAGTACATAGACATATGAATATACATTTGATATAATAACAAAATTATGTTATCCACGAGAAAACTAAACGATTGAAATTAGGAGTATTATGTTCATTTCTAAACAAAAATCTTATATTTTAAAATAAATATTTTTTGTGCAAATATTAAATAATATAAAAAAGTGTATAATTAAAAATAATGGAATAAAAATAATTTCTCTTAATTTACATGTGTAGTATGTATACGCTTTGATGGCATTCTTTTTGAAAAATTTTTATTACAAATTAATAATAATTTTTACTACAATATCAAACGAATGTGCAGTTATACTTTTGCTTAAAAAAATATTAACACTATTTGTATTATAATACAGTTAACTCAAACGATTATTATTTTATTTAATTTAACAATAATTATTATTATAATTAAGGTTTTTTGTATTTTTACGTACTCTGGTTTAAGCATATGGTTTATCCAAATTTTACAATTATTAGTCATAATAATATTTTACAATAGCAATAAAACGTTAAGGTATTGTGAACTTTTTACTTCACAATTCTCGGCCTAAATGTATTAAATCGATATGAGATTACTATTCTCTTAAAATGAAAAAATTGCGATTTCAAATTCAACATTATTGATTCTCTACAAATTACCTGGTAATTACGCAAACGCGGATTTTTGCATCTTATTATTATTATTATTATGATCGAATTATCGCAAAATCTTCTTCTCTTTCGGTGCAGTGATTTAAATTTATAAAACACAGATTTTATTTATAGCGCTGGTTTAACGGTTGTTTGCAAAAGGAAAGGGGTTAGCAATTATAGATTCGAGGGGCAATTGTCGAGGGAGAGGAATTAGCTACGATGACAATATTAATGTAACAGATTCTAAAGAATATATTAAATTAAATAATTATTTTATTAATTTGAAATAAATAGTATATTAAGATATAAAAGTCATGGAAATTGATTCTGTTTTGAAAATGGATTTAGATGAGCTATTCGTAAGGAAAATGAGTTTAAAACTAATTAAAATATAGTTCAGTAAAATAGACATTTATTTATATTTAATTACATTATATTTAAGCACACGTACTATAATGTAATTGTGTATTAATTATTTCTATTAAAACAATTCACTCATTTGTATATATGTAATATATATATAAATGCTTCGATAAATGCAGAAATAATATTAATCACCGAAACTTTAAAGACCACTGAATGGAATTTTCTAAATCTGGAATTATTTTATTTTCATTTAGCTCCTAACATGTACAATATCCCTTCTGCGCTTGGCGGAACGAAAGAAAGTAATATTAAAACTGCGCCTGCGTTTTCAATATCCGGTAGGCAGAAGGCGTTCACTGACGAAAGGATTTTTGTACCAGGACCTGGTTCCTACGAATCTATAAAGCCTGATACCGTGAGATCGAAAAGTCCCGCTTACAGCATCAGCGCACGTCATCAAATACCAAACGACCATTCGCAAAAACCGGGCCCTGGTGCACACTGTCCTGAAAAAGTAAATTTTTAATATTTTTCAGATTCTGCAGAATGAAATAACGTAGTGCACGTAGCGGAATATTTACTTTAAACAATGTATACACAATTAAAAACATGTAAAATAAGACGGTATAATTATTGTAATTTTCCAACGATTCTAACGGATAATTTATCGTTTATTCATATACGAATAACACTTGCTACTTTTTTATATAACAAATTATATAATGTACTACTTATGTAATTAACACAAATAATTATATTATTAATCCAGTTTAAATATTCAACAAAAAGTTACTTAAATATCTTATTTCTTTATATTTAATTTAATATAATCTTGCAGTGATTCATTCATTTTATCTCTTTTCTTTTTATCAAAGTGGTAAAGCTTTTCATGTTTACTGCATTAGAAATCTGCCATAATATATATTATTTGATTATACATTAAATATCCACATATAGTGTAGTATTCAATAATATTGTAGTACGTCAACCATCATATATTCACTTTTATTACTATACAAATTTTTTCTAATTTATATTTTTCGAAAACTGTATTTAATGTAAGAAAATTAAATTAATAATTAATAATTGTATTTACCATTATTGAGAATTCCTTTTTCATTATTTTATAAAGATTATGATATTAAAATTAATGAAAAGTATACGTTAACTAAAAGATGATATGAAAATAATAAAATAAAAATATATTTTAGAACCGCATCTTTAAATGTAATATGTGACAAACATAGATAGTACAACATTATAATGAATTAAATTTAAAATTGAAGATACACTCGTATTGTATTGATAGTGCAGAAATATTTCTTATATAAATAATATAAATTATACGAATACAAATTAAATAAAATAAAAACTTTTATTATACAAAATATTTATAACATTATATATTTATATTTTCTGTTTCTATAAAATGTACAAGCTCCATTTTTAAAATTATTTTTAACGTATAGTGGGTCTTTCGTCCTTACATAAATGTCATTCATTTTCAGGTAATTTTGGATGTTCCTCCGGCACATTCCTTTGGAATTAGACATTCACCATATATCTGCAACTTAAAAGATACTGCATTTTAAAACTTTGTTTATTAATATAAACAATGTTGTGAAGCTTGAGATTTTAATACACAAACAACAATATTCCTTGCGTCTTTATAAATAGAACGACGGTTAGGTAAATTTTATTAAAATAATATTATTAATTGTCAAAAATACATCAGCATTTACATAACCATGCGTTCTTTCAAATATAATGCAATAAAGAACTTCAAGTTTTATTATTATATAAGTTCAGATACCCAATCCGCATATAAAATATAGACTATGCAAACAAAAGAATCACAGATACAGAAGATAAGAGCGTGACTTGATACTAATATTGATAGTAAAACCACTTTGTTAATAATAAAAATCAATCATTTTTCTAGAAACACAAAAATAATATAATCAAAATTTTGACTTATGACATTTTTTAATTAAAAAATAGTAAATAGAATAAATTAGCTGTAACAAGAACAAGCAAAAAAGTGAATATACTTTTGTTTAGTTATATATACTTTTTTTCTTATGTAATTTTAATTTGTTACATATAATAATGTGTAATTTGCTACTATTATGTTACATTTTCAAATAATTCATTTTTCCTTTTTTTATTTTGTTAACAGGAAATATGATTTAATATTTAAAATTAAAATTTACAATAATAAATCAATTATTTATTATGCCCTATAATATAAAATTTAGTCTAAAATTTACAATTATTGTATTATGAGTGTATTAGATTATATACACATGTGTGTATGTGTGTGCGCGCGCGCGCGCGTGTGTGTGTCTATACCAAAGTTAAATAACAAAAATAAAGCAGTTTAATAGATCATATTAAAACAAAAGTAGTACCAGATTTTTATTTTATAATAACAAGTTAATTTATATTTAACTTTTATATTCATTGGATTTTCAAAAATTTTGTTGGCAGTCGTATACACAATCTCCAGCTATCCATGTTGACAGCACATGCAAATTGTTATCAAGAAGTACAAAATCTGCCTGTGTTCCAAAATCTAAAACTCCTTTTTCATGTTGAATTTCTAAAGCCTCTGCTGGATGTAAAGTTACACTTTCTAAAGCTTCCACTAATGAACATCCTAAAATAAAAATGAAAATTCGGTTGTTTTTATAAAACTATAATTTATGAAATCTCAAAATTCATTATAGAATAATTATTTTTATAATTTAAATATTGATCTTTTGTTAGTTCAATTATTTACGAATACAATACATTTTACCTATTAAAATAATAATAGATATTTCGATTTATAATAATTGTATGAAATAACTTAATTTCAAAACGAAAATAAAACATTTACAATAATGTATATTTGTCAAGCTTATAAAATATGTTAATAAGTAATAATAAAACTAATTTTGTGTAAGTATTACCACGTATTTTAAAAAATAAAAAATCTTAAAATTAAAAATTTTTACAGTAGAGTTTATTATTCAATGTTCCTTTATAAATACTTTTTATTTTATTATTTTATATACATTTAATCTAAATATATAATTCGATTGTTTAATTGACTAAAATCTCATATTTTATTAAATACTTTATTAAATAGAAACCATGTGAATAGTAGATTGCACATATTAAATGAATGTTTAATAAACTACAAAAATTAAAATTCTCAAAGATTTGATATTTAGAACTATAACTGTTGTGTATTTCAAATATTGAATATGAAATGAAATGTTTTTATAATTTACAGTTTACCTGTGGCTTCCTTGAAAAATCGTACACATTCGGCCATATTAGCAATACTACCACATAATGTATTTGTGCCAGCGATATAAGCAGAGCCTGCTCTGACTTCGATGCTAAGTTGACCTAATTGATGTATTCCTTCTTCAAGACCGAGAGCTGAAATTGCATCGGTTACTAGTATCAAACCTGATTGAGAAAATTTTTTTCGATAAGTTCTTCGTGTAATCAAAAGTTTGCTTGTAAATAAATATATACCCTTAGGATTAGTTTTATGCGCAATTCTTAAAGCAGCTGGATGAGTATGTACTCCATCTGCGATTATTCCGTAGTAAATAACTTTACCAGGTGCTAATTGGTTAGATGTAAGTAATCCTACAAGACCAGGATCTCGATGATGAAACTAAAAAATATTTTAATAAAGTTGCTCAAAACTTTTTTTTTTTTAAATTAAACATTAGTATCTTTAAACATCAATTAATTACAAATATGAAAAATTATTTACTGGAAGCATTGCATTAAATAAATGAGTTATTAACGTTGCTCCATTTTTTATAGCTTCTTCTCCTTGTTTTAAATTTCCAGCTGAATGACCTAAAAAGTATACATTTTCTTAACTTCAACTAAGTAATTATAAGTTCTTTTTTTATTCTTTCCTTTATTATTTTTTTTATTTTTTTTTTATTTTTTGTTTAATATAATTCAAGACAAATTACCAACAGAAACCTTTATATTTTTTTTTTTTAATTCTTTAATAACTTCCATTGCATTATCAATTTCTGGAGCTAATGTGATATAACAAATATTTTCAAGACTTCCATATAATTCTAAAAGGGATTGAAATCCCTATAACAAATTAAACAATGAAATCGAACGTAATAGATGTATATAAAATTAGAAAAAAAATTTAAGTTCATACATTTTCAAATATTCTAATATAATTTTTCGAATGTGCGCCATTTTTTAATGGACTTATAAAAGGTCCTTCAACATGGATTCCTAATATTGCTGCCCCATCTTTTCCTCCTTTTCTTTTTTTAATCTTTGGTAATATTTTATGATAAGTTTCTTTGGGTGAAGTTACTATAGTCGGACAAAATGATGTAACACCAAAGGAAAGCAATCCTTTGGCTACTAGATTTATTCCTTTTTCTACATTCTGAGTATTATATGAAAAATCAATGCCAAATCCACCTATGTAAAAAAATTAAATTGATGATAAAAAATAAGTGCAGTAATATATATATATATATAAAGTAAGTAGATTATTTAAATTATTTTCTTTAGCTTGGCTTTAATGCTGTTTAAATCAATCTTTAATACAAATCTGTAATTGAAATATATTATCATACCATTTATTTGTACGTCAATGAATCCTGGTGAAATTACTGCACCATCGCAATTAAATTTAACAGAGGCCTCGATTTTTTCATCGTAAAATATTTTTTCTGGATCAATAATTTTTCCATCTCTAACCCATAAATTTTCTTCAAGGATTTGTCCACCTCGTAAAATTCGGCAATTGTAAAATTGTTTTAATTGGTTTTTCGATGTTTTCGACATTTTCAATTCACACTACGATTTCTTATAATGAACTGACATTATCTTATGAAGAGAAGAGCATTATCATTATTATCTTTCATATACATTATTATCAATAAACTCCAGCTATATGAATCATGACTAGTACTGATCATGTACAGATCACATATGCAATTCTATAGCAATAAATGGAAAAACTGCACAGCGCACGTTATTTACATGACTCGAACGTAATATACTACATTCTATTTTTAGAACATTTAAAACAATAATAAAAGTAGCTTTAAAATAAAAACCTGGTAAAAAAAAAGATAGTTCCGAATTTATTGATAAAAAAATTAACAATAATAATAACTAATCATTGTAAAAATAATTATTTTAATATTTCAAATTAGAGGTATATATATATATATATATATATATATATATATATATATATATATATAATTTATATAATAGAATGTATTCAAGATTGAAAAAAATAAAAACATATCTGCCTTTATTGTAAAAAAGTATAGCGAGTACATAGATTTAGCCTTTTAAGGTCTTTAGTAATTTTGTATGAAAATGCTTTTAACAGTACCAAAAATTTGTCATACATTAACGTTTATCTTTCTGGAAAAAACATTTTCGGTTTGCATATAAACATAACAATAGTACGGAATAATTGAATTAAAAGCACATTAATCGTTCTTATATTGAGCGTAAATGTCACATATTCACTTGAGTTTTATGTATTAAATCGATGAATATCAATATCAGTAATCCCATCTACAAATTTGTCAATGTCGAAAGTGACATGGTGCTCTTTAAAAATTTTCTGGATGCTATTGCCTTTGATTTAGTTTTCATCTGGAATAGGAGACATGATATGATTAGTAAAAACTGATGTTACAATGTGCGTTGAGTCAAAGGCACAGATGCAGGATTTCGAGGCAGTTATTGGCCAGTAGTTTTTAGGTCTTGTCATTTAAAATAAATTCACTCGAGCAGTACCGATTACTTTTTTTTGTTATTTATACAGAGAATGGTTTACTGCTGTTTACATTCATTAGGTGCAGAAGTATCTTCTTGCATTTTCCCACCTGTTGGTTCATGTGAGCAATCTTCTTCGTCCTCATCCTCATCAACATCATCATCGTCATCATCTCCATCTTCATCATCGTAATCTTCATCTTCGTCTTCTAAACCCTCTCCTAAAATAATAAAATTTAAATAATTAATTACAATTTCGAACATCTTAGTTTTAAATTTTATTATACCTGTGAAGTACAGAACAGCTCTAGGTACTATTCGTTCTCTGATATAATGGCCAATTTCAAAATCAGATGTTAGTAAAAGTTGAGTCTCTTCATCGATTTCTGCTTCTGTTTCATCTGGTACTAATTTATTAATAAAAATAATCATTTATTTAAAATTTTCGAAATTAATCCAATTGATTTAGGTATAATTTTTGTATAAGGTAATTTTGTTATCTTACCAGTTGGTGGATTAAAGAAATTAAAGAATGAATCATTTTGTACAGTTTTAGTAACTGTACGCATTGAACCTCGAGACTTGTGTACTTGATTCTTTTTTATTGTTTTAACCGTAATGTTTTTTCCTTTTTTCCAATCAATTTTACATCCCTAACAAAATGTAAATATACATTGAATTTTTATGCACAGAAATAAATAATACATACAATTCGATTTAATAACATTATCCTATTACCTTGCATTTGTAAATTTCTGGTCCCTCAAAACTGAAGGGATCGTCTTTCTCTGGTTCACATTTCATATGATATTCTTTCGTTAAAACTGAATTGGAAAAATATTCATTGGGAGAGAAGTGAAATTCTAATACAAATCCCTGAAAAACAAAACGAACATTGCAATTATATTCAGTTAAATCTCTTGAAATTAATATTAATATAGTCTGCATACCATAGGATCTTTTTCTAAAAATATAACATTGATATCGTATAAGTGTTTGAAAATGGGTTCATCGTATTCCTGAAGCATGTCCGCTAACATAGCAACATTCTTAAATATGGTTAACCAGAAATTAGGAATGCCTTTAACATCCTCATCTTCGGCTCTATGAAAAAATTGTTCAATTATAAACATAAAAATGTATTTAAAAAAAAAAAAAAAAAAAAAAAAAAACGCACATTGCAATAATTGCACATAGATATATTATATATTTATCATTAAGAAAAAAAAATACTTATGATTACTTAAATTACAATTAGTTTAAATTTGTCTCATCATAATACAGCATAATATAAAATGTATTTACATCGAAAAATGAAATTTTTCATTTACCCATTTTTATTTTTTTTTATATCTGCCTCATCTTTAACTTCTATTTTAACTTTAGATTTTAATTCATTAGTGATCTCCTCTTCGTCTTCACTTTCCCATACACAGCTTTCATCTGTTGGTTCAACAATACCAGATATAATATTGCTCCTTTCTCTATAGATAGGCGCACATAATTGATAATAACGGCATTCAAGTGCATGCACTTCTTCATAAAATTTGGCTTCAATTTGCGTTGTTTTAAATTGAAGCTGTTTGAGTGCCTTTATTCTACGTTTCACTGGTGCAGGTAATTGCTATAATTTAAATTTTATTTATAAATATTATTAATACCAATTTAATAAAATAACTAAAATAACAAAGAATTATTTACATCGACTGAAAAATCATTGATTTTATTGTGCATCACCTCCAAGATATTTGATTGCCTTTTGGTTGTGCCTCTGTGTTTGTCATCTTCATCTTCTACCGATTCCATATCACTTGTATCAGCACGCTCTGGATCCATGGTCATTCTATATTAAAACTAAAATAAAAATACAAATGCATGGTTAGTGAGTGAGTGAGTGAGTGAATATGTGTGTGTGTGTGTGCGTGCGTGCGTGCGTGCGTGCGTGCGCTTGCTCAAAAAGACCATCAAATGATTAACTACGCTTAATTGGCTTAACCAAATGTTACGTGCCTTTAAAAAATCAACAAATGTAAGCCATGAATAAATAAATAACGCCACGATAATCAAATTAATTAATGATTCTATGAAACAGGAAATATGCCGCAAAGTACTGTTATAAATTAAAAAAAGAAATTCAAATTTATGGTCCATTGTAATAAACGCGAAGGAAATGGTTAGATCAAAGTCAGTGATAATATATACCATCCTAATGCAAAAAATCAATTTTAAATATTCGTTGCAGAATTTTCGTCAATAGGTAACAAGTAATTATTGGGGAGGGGAAAAAAAATATTATATTCGCAAAGATTGCCGTTAATGGAAACAAATGTGATGTCAGAAATGAGGTTAAAGGTAAATTGAAAAAATCTAAAAATCAGAATGTAATGTTCGGTATTCAATGGTCGAATCACCATTTACTTTCTTTACATTAAATGAAAATCTGCGAAGCTAGCGGTGCGCACATGGGAAAATATCCATTATCATGTACAACATTGACAAAACGTGCGATCGAGACAAAGTTGTCGGTCTGATAAAATAAAGAGGAAATCCCCTACTAAAGCTATAAATTTCAGATAAATTTTTCTTATTGAAAAGAAATTTTTTATAAATACTTTTCACCGCACGCCTTTACCCGGCGACTTACCTTTTATTAAGGACAATGATGATATTAACGTGCTCGTCTCCGTTCACAGTTGAGAAAAAGAAAGAGAAATGTAAGTGAATCGAAATAAGCAACGAACGAATTGTTCCGAATTATCGTAACCGGCAGTATATGAATGAGAAGTATGCTGGCTCCGCTATGCCCGTGTGCTTTAGAAATTGGAAGACGCAAATTATTTTGCCGTCTGAAGTTAGCGTTATAATTACGCGGGAACAAGCAACTTCCGGTCTTCGGTGTTGATGATGGCTGTGTGTTGGATTTTAGTAAACTTGATATGGGTAAATTCTATATAAGGAATCCGTAATTTGGCACGTGCTTATCTGTTTTCTTATAACTCTTAACTATTCATGTCAAATAATTTGATATTCTTGTTTTTTAAATCTCAACCTATAATTTGCTCGGTTATTACATTTCAAAAATATAAAATAACAAACAAACGGTGTCGTAAACATCGATATAAATACCATAAAAAGTTTTAAAGTCAGGGAATTAAAAGAGAAATTAGATAAAGGATTTATTATTACAGTAGTTTATAATAAAAAATTTCATCAAGCCGAAATTGTCGATTAAAATTGCAAATAAGAAAAAATTAATTAAGCTGTCATAAATATTAATGTATCTTTATATTAAGTATAATTACTTGATTTTTATATTTAAAAAATCGAATTCTCCAACTGATACATAAAATATGCGTAACTATGTTTTTAATACATTAAAATTATGTAACAAAATAATTAAAGAAATAAATACATTTAATTTTATAACTGATGCCAAAAATTATGTTTACTATGACGTTAAAGATACGCATATTGTTTAAATTTTATGAAAGATAATTTAATAAACAAAAAAATTCAGTAATATTTTATTTATAACATTTTCATACATTCCATAGATACGTAATATTACTGATTGGCAATCAAAATACTGGCTTTATTACGTAGACTTGAGATATATATTTTGATTTAAGGCCAATGATAATTATATTTCGGTAATAATATCGCTATTATATTTATCTTCAATCATGAATTGTGTATATACGGAAAAAATATAATTAAAATCAATAGTATCAAATAGAATCAAATATAACCTCCAATGCATATTATTTAAAATGTGAAATTACTTTTAAAAAATCATATATATATATATATATACATATTTATTTTACTTCATATTCAAAAGTTTTTTATTTTCAATAATCGAAAATAACAAAATAGAATTTTTATAATGTTAATATCAATGAATCAGTATATACATAATTAGGAAGGAAATTTGGACATACGTGAAAATATATTTATTTTACTTTTTAAATGTACAAATTTTTTTCATTTAAAAATTAAAGCAATATAATATATTAATATTATATCTTACTTATTTTTCAATAATGGATGTATAAGATGCATAATAATTAAATAAGAATTATGTCATAATTAATATAGGACATTTTATTATTTTCAGACATTGAAATCGATAATTTTAAATCTATATAATTTTATTAAGTTTTTTAAAAATATATTATATCTTTATGACAAAATTAATTGATAAATATCATATAATAATTAATATATTTTACTCTGTAGTTTGTCTATATGTATAATGAAAATAAAAATATTTAAATACTTGAACCTAAAATACAATTTTACACATATATTTGATTACTCTGCCATTTAATAAAATGTTTGAATCATCTAAATTTTATGTAACTATTAATTAGACAATATTTTAATGTAATAATAAAAGTAAATGAACGAGCAATGCAACGTAAATATTTATTTTGTATTGTAACTTCTGTTACTAGTTTCTTCTGAAATACCTAATCGCATTAATGCTTAATAGATTTGATCTACTATATATATATATATATATATATATATATATATATATGTATACAATATTCGTAATCTATTGATCTTTAATTTATATTAATGCATCTATGTAAAATTATAATTTTTCGACAACTATAATTTCATAGAACAATAAGTTGAAGCTCTCTAAACACAACCTTGTTTTAAAATAATTCAATTTCAAATGCAGAAGAGGACTATTCATTAATCGCACAGCTTTCGTTTCTCGGCTCAAACTCACAATTCACATTCGTATTAATTCCCGCGCCAAGTGGTTAAATTAGAATTCAAAATTGTAAAAAATGTTGCAAGTAAAAAAGTAAATAATATATAACACAAATGCGTTTTTATTATGTACAGTTAAAATGTATTCACATGGTGCAATAAATTGGTGCAATAAAAGTAGTGAAATGTAAAAGTATCATATAACAATGTAAGCTCATAATGACCTAACAGTTTTTACGGATGATTTTACACATTGATAGGGCGGTTTTATCGCACCTCATGAATCATGTGCGCGCTTGTTTGAAAATTTTTTCGGACGATAGAAAAAATATATATATATATAAGGGAAGCTGATTAAAAAAATAGTTTCGCAATGGAGCTGAATTGAAATAATCTATTCGACTGCTAATGTATTAATTCTGACTGCATTATAATGAAATCATAAAATATAAGCTAATAAAATACTTTTTGGTTATTTTACATTAATTATTATTCTTAATGTACAATATATTTTGTGCAGTAGTACAGTATATTTTGTAATTGTGTACAATATGTTTTATACGATTAAAATATTAATTTCCATAGTTATATGGATATGAACAATCTATTTCTTAAAATTGTTATATTAAATTGATTAATTTAAATATCATTTTTTCTTTTATCTGGCTGAATCAATTAATTGTCATAAGGCTGCACGAAATCTAGAAACTTGTTTCATTTCTCATCGTTCTGCCAGATGAATTATTTTAAAGTAAAGAATACGCTCGACTATGGCTTACATCATTTAAGTCAAATGCATATCGATGATCTGTAAATATAAAATTCGAGCAGCTACATCAGTCATAGTTTTAGTAATATTTTATATATATATATATACTGTTTGAGCAAATAAAAATATAACAACACTGCATTATTTCTGTACTCATTACAATTCAAAATACTTTGATTAAGATGCATTTAATTGCCAATAGAAATATTGATCATCTTAGTACTGGAGTAAAGAATCTAAAAATACGTACATAAAAGTCGCGTACATAAAAGTGGAAATAACATATTTATTAATTTATTATTTACGTGCGCGAATGAACCCAATGAGCTATTGTTCTTATTATTGGCCTTACATTATATAGCGTACATTTAAAAAATTCATTACATTTAGATAATTTGAAAAACTCAATATTTTTATTCTTCGATAAATATTAAGAAATAAAAAAAAAAAAAACATTAGATTTTCTTCGTAGTGCAAATCATCATTCACGCTGTCACGATACACTGATAAGAATTCCAAATTAAAATTGCGATTACATCGACGAGGTAATAAGTTTAAACGGCAAATGCGCATGCGGTTAATGCACACTTTGCATTATCTATAATTGTATTGCTATGCGATTACCTTCGGCACAGCACGTTGTTGGATTTGAACAATATTATTGAGATAGGAAGCCATGATTTATTTCAAATTATTTACTTATTTTATTTAATTTAATAAGAAAAATATACCGAAAGATGTCTCGTGTTATAAATATTTTTAAAGTTATTAGAAACAATTGGAAGAAATCTGTTGCAGGGACAATAGTATTTTCCTATGGTTGCTCATACTTCATCAATACCTATGAGTAAAAATTGTTTTTTTTTTAATAATTATATCATTAATTTTTTTATTGTGTATAACATTGAATGTTATGATTATTTCTTTTGCAAATATTAATAATAATTTTTTACGTATTTGTCGTGTATTTTGATAATTGTCAGATTCTATTATCGATGCTTTTATTTATAAATTTCTTTTTATATATATTTATAGGATAAAGCAGGTTATGAGAAAATATTGTGAAGAGGCAGCAATATATGGAGATCAATCCCTTCCAACAAATATTAGACCTCAACAGATTACTGTTATTCTTAATCCAGCATCCAATAACAGGTTATTATTTATTTAGAGGTTATTATTTTATATAATTTATAATGATTTTTTTGCGCGCGCGCGCACAATGTAATATTTAATTCTAGAAAAGCTAAGCAATTGTTTGAGAAGTATTGCGAACCACTTTTACATCTCGCCGGATTTGCAGTGACAATAATACAAACTCAGTCTGAAAATCAAGCACGAAATTTAGTTGCGAATCTAAATACGCATGCCGATGCGATAGTAGTAGCTGGTGGAGATGGCACATTATCCGATGTCGTTACTGGAATCATGAGAAAATATAAAGAAAATAAGTCGATAGCTAAAGAGTGTCCAATTGGAATCTTACCACTGGGCCAAACTAACAAGGTGGCAGATTCCTTATTTTATGGATATACAGATTTAATCGAAGTTCGAAAACTTGTTAATGCTACAATGGCAATCGTAAGAGGGAAGACAAAATTGGCCGATGTCTTGGAAGTTGAATTATTAGATGTAATTATCAAAATAACAATATTATAGTAAATAATTTTTAAATCATGAAAAACAAATAAATATTTTTAGAATGATGTAGCACACCCTCAAGAATCTGTTTATGCAATAGGTACTGTAGAGTGGGGTGCTTGGAAAGATGCCCAGTCAAGAATAGACAAATATTGGTATTGGGGTTCCCTAAGAAAGTAACATAAAAAAATTAATTGTAAACTAATATTTAAATTGTCAAATTAAGTGAATTTAAAATCTGTAAAGAAAATGTTGAATCTTTCAGATACGTTACGTACATATTTAATGGTTTAAAAAATGATTTAAATTGGGAATGTAATGGTCTTGTACGGTACTCCGATCCATGCAGTGGTTGCTCTAAATGCTATAAAGTAGAAGAGACGACGTCAACTGATAGACGATGGTGGCATGCATTTGTACCAAAAGTAAAAAAATTTTCAACTGGTATTTATACAATTACAATTGTCCATGTAATATTATATATTAAGAATTTATTATAAATATACATTTTAGGCGAAAGTGTGAAAGACTATAGCAAAGTCATTAATAACAATTGTGGAGTGACTCGAGAAATTCCAATTTTTACAACTGAATTAAGTTTAGTAACTCAAAATGTTAATCAAGTAAATCAATCTACACCGTCGATAAAAATTGAATTAGGTACGAGGAGCATATCCAATATTAAAATGTTATATTATTAATTAACAAAATTAACAATGTTTTGTGTTTAGGTCCTAAAAGTATTAATTATACTGATTTTATAATTGAAGGATGGCAAAGATTAAAGGGAAACAAATCATTAATTAATAAAACCTTTGAAGTCAAAGATATTGAAATTCATCCTTCACCTTCTAATAATTTAGGACATAAGGAGCGTACATTTTATATAGATAACGAAGAATTCGAATTAAAATCAGTTAAATTTAAATTGCTTCCAAAAACGATAAAAATATTTTGTTCTGAAAATAAAAATTAGTTTATATTATGTAAAAATCTGTATATATATTTTTAGAAAATAATCGAATAATTGAATTATTTTAATAAAATAATTTTATTATAAAAAATTTGTTTCTATAATTATTTGAATTATATTATTAATCTAAATATATAATATATATTTAAGAACTATTGCAGACTTTCACTTTATAATGCATGTCACAATAAATTATACATCTATAAAATCTTAATTTACTAAACTGAGTATAATAAACATTATGAAACTAATAAACTATATTACAAATAAATAATATATAATGTTAAATTTAATTGCAAATATACGAAACTGTTATTTATAATAAATTTTCAACTTCAATTTAAAGTATTTGTTATAAGAACCTCGACTGTAGGACTCTTAATTAACATGGAAACAAGAGTAAATAAAAAATTATATTAATAATAATCTCCTCATTATGTTAAAACTAAAAATAATATTTAGAAAACTATTTATTATAATATTAAATAATTTTACATTATAAAAAAAAAAACTAAAAAATCTAACAATATAAAAAATAATAATATTTAAACAATATAGTACAATAATTGGAAAGAACAAATAATCATTTGTGAAGTTTACGATTATGTGAATTTAAAATATATTATACGGACAATAGTTATAAATATATAATGTAAAAAAAAATTCGCATTATATACAACTGTAAAAAATTTTAAATTATTGAAAAATATGATTAATGTATCTAGTTAATATTTTCTAAACTATTCATAAATAAATAAAATGAGAATACAAAAGTATTAATTAATTTGTTTGTGAAGAACATGGTGATGCCATATTTTTACTTTCTAGGCACACATCATTATTGCAATCCTTGATCGCTGGTCTAAAATACTGTAATAAAGGATATGTAGGACTGTTTGGCGTTTTTCTAGGCTCTGTTGATCTTGACCTGTTTATTCTGTGAATTGGAGTCGTATCTTGTTTTGGACTTGATAACTTCAAAATAGTTTTACAATTATGTTGAGAATATTTTTCTTTTCTAATTTTCGTCAGCCAATCAATATTCTCTTTTAATTTTTGTGGTGACATTTCTAATAAATGTGGGGCAGTTCCATCTACCACAAAATTTGGTAAATTGGACGTCGGTGAGAAAGCTGTTAACGTCGCATCACGATTAGTAGAACTCGAACTAGATTCATGAAATTCATAACAATTATTTGATTGTACATGTCCTTTGCTACTCGAACACATTTCTGTACAAAAAAGTCTTCTAGCACCTCTATTTTCAACATTTAGACGCTTAGCTGGCGTCTCGAGAGTTTCTTGAACAGGAGACAAAATGAATTTATAACTGCCATCTGACCAATAGCCATTGAATATTTGAACATAACACCTCTTTGACGATCGAAAATGTTTATAAGAATGATCCGTTAAATTTGAATTTGTCGTAGTTACTGCAAAGAATATAAAATTTATAAAATATTTTTAGAATAATAATAGTAGCTTGTGCTATTGTAAAATAAACTTTCTTACCTGGAGTGAGATCTGATTCCGATGAACATTCTGGGATAGTTTGAGATCTAATAACTGTAGGAGTTTTTTCTAAAGTTGATACATCTATTTGATAATTTAATACTTGTGGAATAGGTTCTGCATTACCACAAATATTTATTTTTTCATCTTCGTTAATATGCTCACGTCCTATACGCCATATCCTATGACAAGAATCATCTGAACAAGTAACGATCTGAAATCAAATACAATAACTTTAGTTGTTAAATTTACATGTGAAATTTATTTATCGCTTTGAACATACTTTTGATTCCCCTAGACTACACCATGCTATACAAGTAACCTCTTCTCTATGACCAGAGAGCTTAAGTAAAGGGGCACCAGGCCTTTTTGTGTGCCAAATGTAAGCCAATTCGTCACTCGATCCACTAGCAAGATATTTGCCATCAGGACTAAGGCAAGCTTTAACGTAAAACGTTGAATTCTTATGTCCATAATATTCTGCAACTTTAACAATAAAATTATTATTAACTTATAACAACTTATTCCAAGTTAGTAATTGCATTTATACAACAGCGGTTACTTGGTTTGGAATTGTAAGATGATATATTGTATGCATAAATTATATTATCCATGCAGCTTGCATACAAAGTAATCCTATTTGGGCAAACTAGTAAGGAAGTAAAGCCATTACTATTACTTTTACCTCCATAATTCATAATATGTTTTGCTATGGGTTCTTTTTTATGTATACTATAGTTTTTCCTGAGATCCCATATTTTTATTAAACTAAAAACAAAATTGTACATCAGATTTAAATTATTATAAAAAAGCATAAGATCTTTAAGCAAGTGAATTTACTAGATTTACCCATCACCAGTAGAACATGACAGAAGAGTATAATCATCTTGGAAAGCTAAACCTGTAATACTTTGAATATGATTTTGTCTTCTTATAAAAGATGACGTTTTACGTTGTCTTATTTTATTTGGTAGTTTTGTATTATGTGCATCATATATAGAATTATCAGGTTTAGGTCGATTACTATAACTAGCTCTAGTATCCCATATCATTATTGCTCCGTCACGAGCCCCAGTTGCAAATACAGCTTAAAAGTATTAAATTGAATTAAAAAAAAAAAGATATATATATATATATATACATATATATGCTTTACGAAACAATTAAATACATTGTAAAAACATGAGTCTTTACCTTTGTCATGATGCCGAAAAACAGCGCTCTTAATACTACGAGTATGCGCATGAAATATTTGTAATTCTTGAAAACCCGAAGAAGATACATCCCATAAACGAGCGGTATGATCTCCTGATGCAGTAATTAGTTTCAGTTCTTGTGGCATCCATGCAATATCAAATATGGCATCGGTGTGCGCCTAAAAATAAAAAATATATATATAATCATAATTTATAAAAGAAAATAAGTAATACAATAAATACATATTAATGGCAAACGCGTTTAACAATAGTTACCTGTGTTCCTTCCAATGGTTTGTTATATTTTTGTTTAATAGTCGTATCTTGTAACGCAATTTTTCCATCTTCGTTTGCAAGAGCTATCACTTCTTCATAACCAGGAGCCAAAGAAAATCGACAAGCAAACACTGGTGGCTCTGGATTAAAATCTGGGGCGTTTGTATTTGGTTCAATTCCTTTATAAACATCTTCATAATAACACTTTAAGCGCAACAATGCAATATCATAGTCTTTAATAGAATCTGTTAATAAATAATTGTTTATCAATAATCGATGTAATATGTATTGTTTGCTACTATTTTAAATATTCTGTAGACCATTTGTATGAAATAACCAAGTCCCAGCTAAATTAAGATATCATAACTCTACAAACACTTTTGAGTATAATTTTTTTAATAATTACTTACTTAAGCCTTTTTCTCGATTAGTAATAGACCGAACGATGTTCATAATGCTAATATTAAATACTATTATTATATTAAGTTTTTGTTATTAACTCTGTTTACGCGGGAAAATCTGTCATTTTTCTCAAACAATTCGTAGTTTCATTAAAAGCGCCTAAATTGCCGTTAAGGTCGTTCTGCAATACTTATATTTTCATAGATTTATTTATGTTCTGTTAAAGAATCGTTGGTTCGCATACGCATTTATAATAATTCAAGACAGGTAAGAACACTCAGTATAATAATAAAAAGGAAACAAGAACAAAATAACATCTCTGACAGCACAGGCAAAATTTAATATTATAATTATTTTATGCTATTGCATAGCAACAATTGTTTGTGTTGATATTTTAATTTTTTAATGTAACTAGGGTGTTATATTTTAATTTGACGTTAATTTTTATCGTGTATACTATGGAAAGTTGTTGTTATCGATGAAAGTACAATATTGGAAATTAATGAATATAATGTTTTTATTATTTGTAGAAGAATTAAATTTTAATAAAATGTTCAGCATGCAGTGGTATTATGAAAAAAATGTTTAAGCGCAACAGCACAAGCGATAATTTAACGCAACAATTTAATAACGATGAAGTTCAAAGGTACTTTTTTATTTATAAAAAGAAAAATTATATAACCTAATTATTTTATTTTTTATATATTAAGTTACAATTGTGTTTATATTGTGCAGACTTGTGGAAAATATAAAAGAAATTCCTGACAATTTTCAAATACCTTCGAGCATTCTAAAGCAAAGAGAAAAAAATTGGAATAGCTTATTTGCAAAATATTGTTCAACAGTATGTAATTCAAATTTTTACATAGTCTATCGATCTTCTTATAATAATTTATATTTCGTTGAAATAACACTTTTTTGTATATTCTTTTGTAAATTTTCAGAATAGCTTGGAATTAAAGTACTTGTTAGTATAAATTTTATGCTTGAAAAATTGTTGTGATTACTTGGACAACGTCTGTCTATAATAATATTTAAGCAATGTTTAAAAAGCTATGAAAATAACAATTTTAATATATTAATGTTTCATTTATTGAAACATGTATACCATATTTTTAGGTATCAGAAATTGAATTGAAGATGGTTAATCTCCAATACAATAAAGACATTATCAAGCAACAGTTATCAATGCATAAACCAATTTCAATGATACAATATTGGGTTAATACAGGAAATCAACCTTACTCGGAATATTTTAACAATCGAATAGATTCAGATTCAGGCTCTTCTCTAGTGGAAGAATCTCTAAAGTCAATTAAAATCTTAAATTCTAAATCTCAAGAAATACGTTTTGATCCCAAAAAACATAAAAAAGATGAAAAATCTTTTAAAAAATGTTTTAAAATGTCCGAATCTAGCAGTTCAATTGATACTGCAGACTATATTTTAGCTAATAAAAATACAACAAAGAAAGAAGATACCATAGCAATTGTCGGAGGATCAAAAACTAATGAAAATGTGAATAAAAAGCATTTGTATATACCATATAACACAAGATCTATGAAGAAAAATAACGATTGTAATAAGTATTTTAAAGGTGCAAATATGAACCAGCAAAAGATTATTAAAACAAAATTTATAGCAAAAAAAAGAAGTAATTATCATTCAATTTTATACAGTAAACATAAGAACGACAGTGCCAATAATTCAAAAACTATAACTAACTATGAACAAGAGAAGATTTTAAACAAAGAACTAATAAATAAAAAAAAACATGATCAATCAGTATTTAATACTATAAGTGATGTCAATGATACAAGTAAAAATATCAAAGATATAAATGCAAAGCACAAACATATTGTAAGTATAAAATCAGCAGAAGGAAAATTGAATATTATTAACTCAACTTTTTTCAGTGATAGTGATGAATCGATTACTGAAAGCAAAAGTTATAATAGCTTAAAATGTAGAAATTTACAAGAAAGTAATAATCAAGAATTTCAAAATAGTCTATTCAATTATAATCAAACAAGAAAGAATTTATCTAAAATATTAAAGCGAAAAAAGTTATTTAATGGTACGGAATCTTATATTGATTTATCAGTGACATCTAAAGAGAATTTAAGTATTTTTTCTCCAAAAAATTGTATAAGATATAAGCATCCGGCATTGGAAATTTCTAGGCTTACCTCACACAAATCATATATTGTTAAAGCTTTAAGAGAAAAATCTAGAAAAAAACACAATAGATCCGCGGCAGTAAGATCTGCAGAAAAAAATAAATTAGAATTGCTTAATAATTCATTTAATGTCCAGAATGATAATATTGAACACAATAATCTTAATTCTCAAACTTGTTTTCAAGAGAACAGAAAGGACAACAACGAGGATTCAAATAATTCAGGCATTGTGAATAATAAAAAGCATAATCAATCTACAGATTCTACTATAACAGTACAGAATACTTCTAATAATGAATTGGACAAACAATATAAATTAGATTTATTAAATAATTCCAATAGTTCTCTAACTCGTAAATATAAATTAAAAGACTTAATTATTAGTTTACATAGGTTACCATATAAATATAAAAATTTTAATTTAACAAATGCTGAAACACATACACCAAATAATCAAAATTTGAAAGAAATAGATAAAGATTCTGAAAAACATATAATAAATAATATAAAATGCGTACCGCGTATAAAAAGAAATTTCAACGATAGTTCGATTAATTTTACAGATGATTTAAATCATAATTTTAATAAACATAATGAAAATTGTTCTGAAACTTTTGTTAAAAAAAAATCAATTGTATCCGATCAAAATGAAAATAATTCTAATAATTTAAAAAATATTCCAATCGGTAAACCTAAATATACAACACCTACGAAGAAATTAGAAACAATGAAAAAAGTAAGCAAAAAATCCAAAATAATTTCTCCGCTAGAAAAATCAACTATTAAGAAATTTAAAAAATATAATGGAAATACAATATTAAAAGAATCCATACAAGATACATCTGCTCTATTGGTTAATGAATCAAAAATAAATAATAAAAGATTGAATTTTTGTGAAAATGGCAGTAATTATAAAAATACAGAAAATCTACCTGTTAAAAAAACTAAATCTGTAATTTCTGTAGAGAAATCATATCTAATGAAAGAAGGATGTAAACAGTCAGAAAATGGTTTTTTATATTTTAGGAATTTAATCAAATACAAGGAACATAGTTTACCTCATAAAACTATGAAATATATACCAATTATTTCTTCTTCCGATGAGTCTGAACCGATTATAAAATCAAAAAATAATCGATCAATGGATAAAGTATCTAATAAATCTACTAAAAACGATAATAATTATGAAAATGCTGAAAGCTGTTTGGTTGACAAATCTGGATCTGTAATATTAGAAGCAACGAAAACGCTACGTAAAAAATATAAAAAAGATTTTTTATCACAAACAGCTGTAGTTAGGAAATTTAGAAAACATGAGAAACGTTTATCAGAGGAAACTATGAAATGTATACCGATCATTTCTTCCTGTGATGAATCTTCATAAACTGTGGCATTGAAAAATTATCGATCAACATCACAGAACAAACTATGCAGTAAATTCAAATAAAGCAGAACCAATGGTAAAGAGACTAAAAAATCTAAAAGCGATTCGGAAGAATAGTCAATACTTTCTTGAAAGCAATTATCATTTAGAAAATCATTTGAAAAAGAAATTAAAATACTGAAACGAACTTACTTGTCTATCCTAGATGTTCATATATGAAATGTTAAAAAAAAAAAAACGAAAAAAAAACGAAAAAAGAAAATTATTTGTAAATAGTTATTCAAACAAGGCTTAATTGAGTCAGATTCGATGTACAATTATAAGAAATTATTTTAATAGGTATAATTGATTTAGTTAAATAATATTGTTCATTTAATACTATTTTAAGATAATTTAAAAGTATATTGTGATTAGTTTACATACAAATTTTACAATTTATTAAGTATGAAATATTACTTTAATAAAAAAAAACTATCGGATAAGTTACAAATTTATCTAATAAATTAAATAATAGTAAAATTAAAATATAATTTTTGTTTTTTATTATTATTTGATAAGTCAAAGCAACGATGTATCTAATTATCCTAACATAACGTTACTCAATACAGATTTTATAATAATAGAATTTGAATTACATGTATGGATATATTGTATCACAGAGGCTTATCAGATACACATTGTTGCATAATACTAAAGTAACTTTGTATATAATACAATTGCACATAAATTCAATAAATATAAGTTGAATATTATGATAAGAATCAATTCTAAACGGGGTTATTAATTATTTTATATAAGTTATTTGAAATCTATCAAATATCTAATAATTTAAAATTGAATATAGTTTTATAATAAAAATACAATTAAAATATAGTTTTTAAAGTTTGAGTGTATTTTCATTGTTTAGACTATTGTTTATAAATAAATAACTTTATAAATCAAATAAAGCTGTGAACAATACTTATTAAAATATTGTCACCTCATTTTTATTAATATAATTGGTGTTTCGTAAATGTTTGGAAATTTAAGAATTTTCAGATATTTAAAAAATTTTAAATATTAATAAATATAATACTAAAGCCAATTTATGAATGAGATAATAAGATAATGATGATTTTTAATTAATGATTATAATTAATTAATTGTTATACATCATAATGTAAATTGTACGTCAAGGGTAATTTTGTATAATAAGAACTTATTAATTTAATACGATAAAATTTTATTTATATACTATATGCAACTATAAATTAATTATATATTTTACATAATTATTTCATTATCTTTAACGAGTAGCAGATCCAATGATATGATGCCTTGTAAGGAGAAGATGATGTGGTTGAGATACATATCCTTGTAATGTAATATTCTCCCATTTCATGTCTTTAAATCCATATTTTGTAATATATTTTGTTGGATCAGAATTTAATTGACAACCACCGAAAAATATTGGCCATATTTTTGTTTTCGTAAGTATAATTTGTATCCAACCGATAAATGAGCCTTGCTTATCAGGCAAATGTTCCAAAAATAAGTATTTTCCTTCCTTAAAAATATTATAATCTTTTCAATTTATAAAATTCATATTTGTCTTAATTCGAGTATATTCATTCCTTGCATTTTTTTTAATTAATTTAATATGACGATACGTATTTATTCAAGAATCTATATCTAAATAGGAAATTATAAATTTTGGAAAACAAATAATGTCAATAATAATATTTGAAAATGTAATTATAATGTATCATTTGATGAAATTTTTGACGTTTGTATACTAGTAAGCGATTTTATTCATAAATTTATTTATTACCATTATTTATTACATTATATGTAGGTTTTGTACTTGTAAAAATTTAAAGCCGGAAGACGATTGACATACATTATAATAAATTATGATTGTACAAATACATAAACTACAGTGAATTATCAGTTATCGTGTTTACGAATTTGAAATAGAGTAGTTCAATAAAGATGACATGGAAATTGGAAATATATAATATCTCCATTAATATCGTTTTTATGATACGATATAATAAATACAAAAATATTACATAACATAATAAAAAATTTAAAAAAAAAAATAAAACTTAAAATTACTACTCTATCGTGCGTTTAAGAATTATCAATTGTTTTTTAGAAAATTTCAAAATGAAAATTAATTTTCAAATTCGATATTGCATGGATATTTTATACATATTTTATATTACTTGTTAATGTAATATCGCGCACATTACCATTATTACGTTTTGTTATATTTTATAATTATTTAGCTAACTAGTTAATTTTATTTTAAACCACAAACTTGATTAAATGAAGCAAATGGTTTTTCAAATTTGAATTTGTCAGATGATATTTAAATCCTACTATCATTCAGCTACAACTATAAGCTTATGTTACTTTTGTGAAAGTACCCAAAAAATGTAACACTTACAGGTGCAAGTACACGATGAATTTCACTAACTGTTTTGCTCACTGATTTTGTTGAACATAGTGATCGCGTCGTTACGACAGCATCTACAGATCCTGTTGGAATTTCTTTCAGAGAGCTTCCATCACCTATAATAAAACGTTCAAAAATAATATGAGTAAATTGCCATGAGCGGTCTCCATTAATTAAATACTCTTCTAATTTTCGATTCCAGTCAACGGCAATAAAACAGGTCCCATCTGGATAATATTGTAGATTATTACCTAGACAAAATATATTCATATTTTATGTCTATTTTTTTTGTATGAAATAGATAATGAATTAAATATCATATAGAGAGAATTTGAATCATTAGTTCATTATTTATATTAAAATATTTATGCTCATCATTTAGTAAGTCATTGATAAAAATATAATTGATTTTAAATTATATTCAATGCCCTTACGTATATATATATATATATATATATATATATATATGAAAATATAAATCTATTTTTAACATCGTAAAAAGAAAAGAAAAATCTTTTAGCAAGTAAATAATATAAAAAGATTATATTAAATAAATTACATAATTAATAAAAAATAGTAATTATTGCGCTTTAAATGTTTTTTCATAACTTTTTAAATCATCGTTTTAAAATGTATAAAATTATATAATAAACTTACAATATATTTATAATTTAAGACATTATATATGCGTAAATGTTTGTTAATATTTTCAAATAACTCGAATTTCAAAATGATTTCAAATTTAAAAACATTGCAATTTTGAAGTTTTCATTTAAATTTTTTCAATGCGTACCGCTCGCTTAATTATGAATGTATTTGTAAAATCGTTGAAAAACTTTGATTTATGTATCTTTTTAATGATTTGCATTGAGCCAATTTCGTAAACTACCAATTTATTATAAGATAAAATCAAGGTTATCACCAAGGGTTTCGTGATACATAATTGCATTCTGATCATTGACATAAGTGTACCATAAATATATTTTAAAACAGTTTTGCTCAATAATTTCATAAGATAATTTCGTTTCTATAAAATTGAAGTTTTTAACAAGTCAAATCTAATCGTAAATATAAACTACATCATATATATATATATATATATATATATATATATATATCGCTGTAAATTTAGTAAATGAAGAAACATGTTTCCCGGTATAATCAGTAAAAAAAATTTTCAATTCTAATTGTTAAGTCTCATTATTATATATAATATATATGATATTAATTTATAATAATTATATTCCGTGAATGTAAAATTTATTCATTTTATTTATTTATTTATTTTTATACAATAGCATTTTTTATTATTAATAAATTTTAATTATTTCTTTTTTATTATTATTTTTTGTTTTGTTTTATAAGATTAAATTTATATCTAGCATGTTGATTATTTTATTTTTTATGAACATAATTGATGCTTTATTAAAAAGAAAAACATTTTAAGAGTATAATACTAAAATAATAATGCCTGAATAACAATTATATTTATTAACCCGTTTTCACTCCAATTTCCAGTATCCTTATTCGTCCTAAGCAGCGAAGAGTTTCATCATGTGAGACAAATTTTTCTAGCGGTGCAAATAAACGTTTTTTATAAGTTCTAGTCAATTCTGCACATTCGGATTCAAAACCAAGTAAAAAAGTTTCGAAGTAATGTTGACGAAAACGTGACCATTTCCATGATATAAGGCCCGAAAAAATGATAATAATAATTGTGATTAGACCATATTTAGTAATGAGATCACGTATCCATAAATCGCTTCCACTCATTTTCACACCAGTCGCCTTTTTATTATCCTCTTCATTTTCTGCCACTGCTATTTAATATTTGAATTATTTATTATAATATATGTTTATTATAATATATGTTGATTGTATTACTATGTACAAAATATATATGCATATACAATGCAGCCACATAAGAAACTTACGAATATCGCTGAAACACGAATATACTTAAATAGAAGTTGAAAAGCATAGATAAGATAAAATATTCGTAGATTTGCGATTTAAAATTTGACACAAAAAATTTTTGCATTATTATTTTTATATATAAAAGATATTATGTCTTTTTATATATACAATATATATATATATATATATATATATATATATATATATATATATTTATAAGTATAATTGTATGTATTTATAAGAAATTGTTGTCTTTTGAGGTATTCAAATGATTTACATGACTCTTAAGTAAACATTGCAATTATTTGACAGAATTTAATTTTAAATTTAAGAAAATTATATAACATTTAACTGTTACCGATTAAAAATATAGAATTTGAAAAATTTGTACATTTAATAAATAATACGAAATTAATTTTTATAAAAATACATAAATAAAATATATAAATAAAATAACATAAATAATAATTTTTTGAAAATGTGTTTCAAAAATTGTTTTGTTATTGGTGAATGATTAACAAGTTATATTAATATTCTATAAAATTAAATATAAAATTTATAATTTTACGGTAAACCTATATTTAAATGTTTAATATTTGTTTATTACATACATATTTGGTTACCAAATTTTGATAGATTTTCAATGTCGTCTGACGTTTTTTCATATCTTGTATAGATAATGATTGGTAAGCAGAATATAAATTTAATTATAAAAAGATACCAATACAAGAAAAATGTTAGTAAAAACAGTGCAATATATTTTGTAACCATAGTAAAAATTTATTACATTTATTCATAATTACAGCTGAATTAGTTCTTAATAAAATAGTTAAATAAAATAATGTTTTTATTGAAAAATTTAATTATTAATCAAGTTTCATTGTTATATATTTAAAAAAGAGTATAATTTCATTCAAATACAATAATATAATCATTTTATTTATAGAAAATTTCAAATATCAAAATCTAATACGTATTTTTATATAAAATATCAAAATAAAGATTCCGAGATTTTTATTCCGGAAATTTTTATAATCATAATGAGTACAACTTCCTTTGAAATATTATTGTTTTCATCTCAGTAATCATTATATAATTAGCAAAATATACATTAAAAATTCCAAAATGTAATAAAATAAATAGTAATTAATACAGAAACAAAAATCTAATTTACAAAGCACAATTTACATCATTTAAATAATGTATTATATAATATTATTATATTATTATGTCTTTCAATTACCTACACATAATATACGATTTAATGATCCTTGAAAACTTTAGAAATATCTGTAATACGCACTATTTTAACTTGAGAAATTTATAAATTATTTTTCATTTATACAACGATATTTCTTACAAGAAAAATAAAAATTATTATATTACAAGCTCATTGGGAATAAATACTTATTTTCATTTAATTTAATTCAAAAACTTTCTTTTAATATTTAATTTTTGAAACATGACAAATATTTATATTACAAACTCCATAGACGATAAATTAATAACAATTTATGGTATTTTATCAAAGAGTAATAAAAGTTTATAGATTTGCTTACTACGCATCAAAACTCATAACATGACATATTACAATAAAAGTTTAAGATTTTTTATTTTCAATGTATTTGTAATTTTCAAAGAAAGTGACATATTATTATAAAAAATATACATAATATATTATCAATGATATTGGAATAATTTTAATAGAATAGCATTTAAAATAACTCATTAATTACGATTTTTTACAACAATAAAATAAAACAAATAAAAAGGTTATTGTAATAAAATAGTTAATATTAAACGATAAAATGATAGAAACGTAGAGGCGATAAAAGTAAATAAAAGTCAACGACTACCATTTGAAAATATATGTAAAAATTGTCTCACGTTTTCAATAGAGACTTAAAAAATTTATGTACATAAAACAGAGAGGAGCCAGAATAAATCATTTGGATATTTGCATCGATGGTTATGGTCCAGTTTTTATTAAGGACTTTGGAAGAATAAGCACAAACAATAGGTTCATCGGTTAAGATCACGCGCATGGCGCACCAACTCTATATAGGAGTCCTCGAATGCAATTGAGAATTATTTCTGAAATCCGTAGGCGTTTTGTTTTTGCCATTGGGGCGGAGAAGAGGTTGGCCGTTTCCGTAATGGCTCATTGATTCGTAAAAAGTCGCGCAACTCATGCGAGCATTCGCTAAACGATTACCACACGGTGCGACCTTTCTATTTCCCATCATCAAGCAAGAAAAGCAAGAAAGCGAACTCTACGCATTGAGTGAGCGAGAGAGAGAGAGAGAGAGAGAGAGAGAGAGAGATCATGTGTGCGGACAGCACACATCGGTGGGACCTCTATTATATTATTTTTGCGACATTGTTTTAGCTTATCTGAATATAATTTCGCACACGTATTATGAGTAGTACTTCAGTCACATCTTTAAACCATATATATATATATATATATATATCACTTGATTTATTTTATCAATAGTTCAGAATAATATTCAAATATTGTTGGAAACAATTCTTCCTTAAATATAGAGTTTATAGTTTAAAATATAAGTTATTATATTTTTAATACACTTTATAAGAGAAAATGTAGTTATTCGTTTTATTATCGTATATGTTACATTTTCAACATTGTAGAATAATAATAAATAATTTATAGTATCTTTCTGAAAAAAGAAATAAGCTTAATAACATATTAGTTGTTAAATATATACATATATATATATATATATGGAAGGAAAAAAATTGTTTTTTAATCAGCCGTTAAGTGATGCATTTAATACTAGACTTTTATATTTTATATATTCCGAGTAAAAAGCATTTTAAAATACATGAAAACTATGAAATTATTTTGAAACAAACAGTTCATTTTTTTAATCTTTCAATTATTGTTAATATATGTACGATATGATGTATTATATACTACAGAATTACTTTTTAAAGAACTTTTTATTTAAAAGATATTCAAAAGCATATTAATTATGATGTTATTAAGTAAAACTAGTTTCTTTCTGTATATTATTTGTTATAGTTCATACGTGTATGCATGTATGTCATATATCGAATGATAGTGGAAGCTGCAATAAGTTAAAAATACAGTACTTTACCATAAACAAAAAAATTAAAGTGATTATGAAAATTTCAATCACATGTGTATATTTAATGAAGGGGAAAAGGTTATTTACTTTTAAACTACTAACAACCGCTCCTATGAAAGCGTTGTATAAGCAACACACACATAACAACCATTTCATATTTAAATACTACTGTTAAAGAAAAGATTATACAGATAGGCGGGCGCTTCGTTTCGTGCTCAGCAATAAATCGAGCATTTGTGCTTTAAAAGCGCTTTCTCAACGTCGCGCATATTACTTGTACGTGTGTAGCTTAAATCTGCTGACTCGTACCTTGGAAAACATCTCGCGAAGAGTATTTGTGTGCGTTGGATTGGCAAGGGGGTTGGGGAGGGGGTGGGTAATGGCTGGCAGAGGAAAACGCGCTAATGAAGACAAGACAACGCATCGGATGATAAAGCGGGTAAATATGTTTAAAATAATATGCATACACGGAAAAGAATTTTTATTCGTACAAATAGTTTTTGCGTTTCAAACACGCGTATTTCAATACATGAATACGTATATATGTAAAGTTTTTTTTTCTCTTCAATTTTAATTCGATAAATTCTAAATATAATAAATAGTAATTTTACTACAACTCGATAATACATCATTATGCTTTAAGAATTCTTTTTAATGTTAAATATCGACTTAAATTATGAAAGAAAATTAAATAAAAGAAATTGTTAATTCTTCAATTACAAATAAGTTGTTTAGTATTTGTGAATATTATCGGTGATATCTATTTAATATTTAAATCGATAACAAGAAATTTTAAAATATATATAATAATAGCAGAAATATTTCTGGAAATTTACATATTTTAATACATACGTGGAATATTGAAATCAATCTTATACTTATAATATTTACTTAGTTGTTAATGATTACAAATTAAATTTATTCTTGTAATATTAAGTTAATTGTAAATGTTTGCAAGTAAAGCAAATGTTAATAGAGTTCGAAAATTTATTTATGAAATTTATAAAATTCATAAAATTCAAGACGCAGAATTCGAGAATAAATAATGATCGTCAACAGTTCTTATAATTATGAAAACTTATCAAAATGCGATAAAAAATGACATGGTAAATTAAATATTTCATAATTAAAAATTATTATTTTAATTATATATCATCGATTATGCGTGTTATAATTCATATTCATTACGTTAACTTTATTTTTACGGTTATTTTCAAGATTATTACAAATACTTTTGCATATGAATCTATACGCATACACACACGCGCGCACGCACGCACGCACGCACGCACGCACGCACGCACACGCACAAGCGCAAGCACAAGCACACGCACACGCACACGCACACGCACACGCACACGCACATTGATTACGAGAATTAATTGTTTTTGAAACGTTTAAATATACAAAGGATAACAGCTGTTGGATAGGGTATGTATCATAAACGCGTTATACATAGTTCAATGTGTGGTTAACAGCATATGTGAGCAATATTCATTCAAAATTTGTCTTTGTTCTTTCTTATTGAAAAATAAAAATATTCGAATTTACATTTGCATGTTAAAAGTTGTGGAAGGATGAGTGATTGCGCTAAGCAAAGTGGTATTTATTCCGGTTAGTTATCTCCGACTCCTTGCAACTTGGCCAGACTCGCACACGGGAAAAGGTGCACATTCGTATGTGCCTTCGCGCAAATATAAATGAAAAATAAATATCAGTCTCGTCCCAGGATTAAACCGTTATTTGGTTAATTACATTACAGCACGTACATTCTTCATGTTTCCCTCTTATTTAGCTTTTCCTTATTTATTCAAATATCTCTGGATTATTTTTAATTTTAAAGATACTTTTTCAAGCGTCCTCACTTAATATAAAGCTTGATGTTTATATGTAATTTAATGTTTTCAATATT